AGGAAGAACAAAGCCATAAAAGACACCAGGTCACAGCCATGAAGCACTTGGCTCTCGCGTGTCTCCCAAATCCCCCCAAACACATCTACGTTCATCAAACCGACATTCTTATATAGACTCTACAGAGGTGGTGCAGTGGGAAGTAAATCATTGAAGGGGACAGGTTTGGATCTGGATTGATGTTGGCGGCTGGGGGGGAGGGTGCCCTTAATTGTCTGAAATTGGCTATATTACATGGATACAAAACTCACTTTTTTTCTCAGCGTGGCGTTGAGATCAACCTCTTTGTCTCCCCAACCCGCTTCTTCCTTTCTCATGTTATTTCTCGTCTTTCCAGAGCTGGATAGGTCTATATAATACCATACCACTTAGCTTTGAACCCGACCTTCGATAAGTTCTGATATGTATCTACAATACTTTGAAAAACAACCAAACTGCACGTGCAGCTTTTCATCATCATAAATAGGCAAGCAATCACATCAAAACCAAGGGGTAAATAAACAGCCATGCGTCCACGAACAAAAATTGCCTCGTTGGATTTTTCTTCTCTTTTGTTTTCTGTCACATTGACCCAATGGCTAGTCCCTCCACGATACGACAACCAGGACTACCTCGCCCCATAGCTGAGGACACGAATACACGGGAAGCCGGCTTTCCGAGGCAAGAAAAAAGTAGTTATGCCATCTGGGCCCGACCCCGATAAGGAAAAAGGCGATTTCCCCCCTTTCTTTCACAGTACATGTTTTGAGAACAACAAGAGGCGTAAGAAAGCCTGTTGAATGGAATGGCTTCTCCTTGAGTCTCACATCATTTTGCGTTGGATTAGATAAAAAAAAGAATATCTTGGTACTGTTTCTCTGAGAAGAGGTCAAAGCATATACTTAGCCTCTGCCAAAATTGTTCCCTCGCCCGCCGGGAGCTGGCATCCCTCGGTTTTCGTAAGGTGCTTGGGGTCCAAAGCCCCCCGGAGACTGAGGTCCGGGTGGGCCGTCAAATCCGCCCATGCCGTGTGGCATGAATCCTGGTGGCATCTGGCCAAAGAAGCCCAGGGGAGGAGGTCCCATGTTGCGGGGAGGCATGTTGCCCATGCCCTCTGGCATAGGCATTGCGCCAGGTGGGAAGTTGGGCGGGAACATGGGGGGCATTGGAGGGTTTCGGCCAGGGCCGCCGGCAAGGCCTGGAGGCGGCAGCATGGGGCCTCTCTGTTGCTGCTGTTGGGGAGGCTGGAGGGGAGGAAGCTGGACTCCTCCGCCGCCCATCCAGTTCGGTGGCATCTGGTCCAGTCCGGGTGGTGGTGGTGGTCGTTGCAAGATAGTAGGTGGGTTGGGCATGTACTCGCCTTCCTCCAGGGGGAAGCCGGGGGGAGGCGGTGGACGTACTTGGCGGGGCAGAGCCCTTACGTCGCGGCCAAAGTCAATCTCGCGCTCGCCTCCCTTCGGCGGCGGAGCTTGCTTGTGAAGCTGCGATTCCGTGCTTCCTGACCCAGCACGCATGAGGTTCATCAAGAACTCAGTGTTACTGTTGTTGCGAGCTGCGCCTTCGTCGGGGCGCCCAGATCCCCGACTTGATACGCGCTGGTGGTGGCCAACCAAGTCTTGCAGGAGCTGCTCGGGTCGAGCAGTCTGAGGCTGGGGCCTTGGTGCATGGATCTCGTGAGGCTGTTGAGGAGGCGGCCGGCCGGCGCCTCCAAGAAGGGCTTCAAATGGCGAAGCAGGCATCTGGGCCTTCTTGGCAGCTTCCATGGCAGGGTTCGGTTGACCCGGAACCATGAATGGAGACGGGCCGGGAGGGGTAGCGCTCATAGAGTGCTTCTGGAGTTTTGCAAGCAATTGCTGGAATGCTTGCTTCTCTTCGTCCTGAGGAGCAGCTGGTGTGAGCGGACCTAGAGCCGAAGGCTGGGGCTGCTGAAACAGGTTCAGACCCATTGGTGGAGGAGGGGGTGCAGCCATGGGCGTTGGAGGCTCGGTCTTGACTTCATGATTTTGGAAGAAGGAAGTGAACCTAGACGACTTGCCAGCAGGTTTAGGCCTACTTGCTGCAACTTCAGGCTGATCTCCTGGCGAGCTCACTTCAGTGCTATTCTTGGACCCAAAAGCCATGAAGAACTTGTCTGGGCCTTGTTCAGTAATGATTGGCGCAGACGCTGGAGGCTCTTCGAAGCTGTGCTCGTGGGGGATGGCCGATGATTCGTTGGAGGGAGGTTGCCCGGTCTTGGTTTTCTTCATGTCCTCCATCCATTTTTGAAAGTCTTGTTGGGTTCGAGCTTCTCCTTTCAAGTCGGCTGGTTCGTCTAACCACTCGGGCTCACGCTCAACACGGCGATCACCTCCCCATCTTCTGTCGGCGTTCCGGGCGTTGCCTTGATCCTGGATTTCGGATTCTTGGTCGCGTTCTCTCCAGTTCTTGGCTCGGTCGATGCGTTCGCGCTTCTCTGGTAAGCGGCCCTCGCTGTTCTTGGATTTGTGCCAAGTTTCAGTGCCGTTCTTATCAGTCGTCCCTTTGGGTTGGCTGCTTTCTTCCTTCATGCTGCGCTCCCTTGAAAATGTATCGAATGGTCGTGCAGTTCTACCATTGGGGTCTTTGGATTGAACCTTTTCGTCTCGGAAGTTTCCTCCCATTCGGCCCTGGAAACGCTCCGCATTTTCAGCGCCAAAACTTTTGCGAGGTTTAACTGGTGTCCAACCATCACTATCTTGGTCGGTGCCATCGCCACGTCTCCTCAGGGGATTAGTGGCTCGGTTTGCTGATAGACGGTCTCCTTCACCCTCATTGCGACTTCGGAAGCCAAACCGCCCTTGTGCATCGCCCTCCTTGAGTTTGTCCCCGTCGGTAGGTTTCGTTGCTCGGCCAGATGAGGCAAAGGCCATTCGCGGAGGACCGAACACAATGTCTTCAGGGTCTGTAGGTAGGTAAGTGTCAGTTTGTTTCATCCAATAAGAAAAAGAAGCCTGCTCGGCGGGGAGGCGTACTAGTAGCGCTGGCTCGAGAGACATGCCGGTCAATGACCGGACGTCTATTGGTCTGGTCATGCAGAGGGTTTTCGACGTTGTTTCGGAACTTGTCAAAAGCTCCGACCTGGCCACGGGAATTTTGTTGTTGGTGACGAGCGGGCTGTTCAGGGGATTGTCTTTGAAAGGATACTGTTAGCTATGGTAGCCAATCCAGAAATTGAAACGGATTTCACATACCCCATCCACTCATCAGTGGGCGGGAGGTTTTCAGGCTTTACACATAATGGAGAGTCTCTCAGACAGAGAAGGTCCTCTGTCGTATATCGTAAGGCCATAACAAGGTTGTGCACGCGCAACGCGCATTTGTCAGGAGCGCGCTCGCCAGTCGCCAGTCGCCGACCAATTAGGTACCCCTCAGGACGAGGTATATGTTATGATCGGGAGAATGTCTGTCGTGGAGGTTTGTTTTCCAAAGCCAAGAATAGCAATGCTGAAATAAGGCAATCGAGTATAGGCACACTTAGTGTTGTCTGAGTTTATGTAGGGAGCCGGGTGGAACCTGGTGGAAGAATTGCTGTTGCGAGCTGAGAGGAAAAAGAATATTTGTTGATATTGGCAAGGTAGAAGAGGAAGCTGGTGGTGTACACAGATTGTTGGTCGGATCACGAAGGCGTGCAGGATGTCTCGCAAAGCACGGCGGCTGTTTTCCAGTTCAGTGGTCGAAATTAGGCTGCGATCGTTTGCAGGTTTGGTTGGGTGCGAACGTGGACGAGTAGAGTGGGTAGGCAGATAGGTGTGATGTAGCGGATGCGGTACGGGACAGCAAGAAACGGGTCTATGCTGGAGCGGGAGGCAGCGCGAATGTCGCAGAGATGTGAGCAAGTATGGGATGCCGCGACAAGGATGGCGTTTGAGGGCTGCTGCAGGACGAAGTTGGGCGGTGATGGTCCAGAGGGAGATGTTGCGTGTGACGAGATGGATGGATGCGCCAACAAAAAGGGAGGGGGGCGGTGGTGGAGTTGGTGGTGGTGGTTTGCTGGTGGTTTTGGTGAGTGAATCTGAGTGGGTGCGTGCGTGCGCTGGCCAGTGGTCAATTGTGCAGAAAAAACTGGGTGATGGCTGCAGCGCACGCTAGCTTAGTAGTGGAGGGCAGCGCTGCCGAGTCCTGCCTTGGAGGCAGCTGATGGAGTGCTGTGCCTAGTGGTGCCACTGTGAGCGTGCTGGGATGGGCTGACCTGAGTCGGCAACCCTCATCAATTGAACTTCCAGCCTGTGCTGCTGCCACTGTAGCGAATTCCCTAGGCCTGGTACATCCAGCCCTACGCTAAGTGCACGGTGTTGAGCCACAAGTGTCCGCTGGCTTCGCTTGATCAATCAGATAAAATGTGCGTCTGCGGTTCCTTTTAAGGTCTGGAAAACGATAAGCCGTCGTTTAAACGGTTTCTTGGTGTGTCTTAGGCAAGGGTGCTGGTCTTCTCAAGCCACGTACGTACCTTCTCCAATGTGTACCTCACCACTCAGCCACAGTTCCCGTCGCCTAAGCCACTCTTGATCATCCACCGAACTGGGGAGTCGGTAGGGACTCAGAGCTCAATAAAATCCATAGATGAATGAAACAATTCTAGCTGTTTCCAGACTCATTTACGTCGTGTGAAAACCACTTAGACCAGAGACCATTGAATGCCTGTTTCAACGTAATAGGGACCCAGAACCCTGGCGAGTCACACGAATGCCACGTCTATCGACCCGAGAGACAAACTTGCCCGTCGCCTTCCAGGTCTCAGATGCCGATTCATAGGCTAGCGACGGGATTGAAATGTTTCACACTTGGATCAGGGTGAGCTTGAAGCTGCTTGCGATTTCTCGTCGCCTTCATCCATCACTTTGATGCCTTTTTCTTTAATTTTCACTACCTCAGCTGAAACGACAGAAGTCCGATTATGCAATGATATTAATCTCATATTTCGTCTGGAATAAGAACATAGATCATCCTGCTGTAACTTTCCATAACCTCCCCCAAAATCCTAGCTAAGACCAAGAGCCACACATCTACTGCTTAGCAGCCGCCACCGCAGGGACCTCCTCCTCCAAAGGCAGGATATGGGGCAGAGGGCCGAGCGGCGTGATGGACAGCGGGTTGATCTGGGTGTGACTGCGCATGTAGTGCCACTTGATGTGGTCGAACTGAGTCGTGTCCCGGAACGCCGCGTCGCCCCAGTACAGGCTGCGCATCCACTTGTGCAGGGCCGGGTACCCCGAGCGGATGTCCTTGAGGTTGCACTTGAAGTGCTGGACGTAAACGGGGTCGAAGCGGATGATGGTCACGTACAGGCGCACGTCGACCTCGGTCAGCGTCTTGCCGAACCAGTAGGGGCCGTCCCTCTGCTGGGAGAGGTGCTTCTCGGCGCGGTCCAGGGCCGAGAAGAGGGCGACCACGTTGCGCTCGTAGGCGTCGTAGGTGGTGGCGAAGCCCGACTTGTAGACGCCGTTGTTGATGCCGTCGTAGATCCAGGAGTGGGCCTCCTCGATGTCCTTCTGCAGCTCCTTGGGGTACAGGGAGATGGCACGGTACTTTTCCTCAATGAGGTCGTCAAACTCGCTGGCCAGCATGCGCAAGATCTCGCTGCTCTCGTTGCTGACAATTCGCTTGGTCTTCTTGTCATAGAGAACAGGGACGGTGAATCTGGCGGCATACTCGGGCTCAGACTCAAAGTACACCTGCTTCAGGTGGGTGAAGTCCTCGTGGCCCTCAATTGGGTCGGGAATCACATTCTCGCCTGGCTCCTTCTCATCCTTGGTCACAAAACGCCAGCCGCCCTGGCCCAGGTGCCAGTGGACGACTGAGAAGGAGATGATATCCTCCAGTCCCTTGAGCTTGCGGGCAATGAGTGTACGGCAGGCCTAGTAGATCACTCGAATTAGTGGCTGTCTAAGAAGACCAAATACGCGTATCTGCTAGTCACATACCCATGGACAAGCATAGCTGACGTAGAGGTGGTATCGACCCTTCTCGGGGGGATACTGGGCACCGGCCTCCCGCGAGATCCAGTCACGGAATGAGCTGACCTGGCGCTTGAACTCGCCGGACTTGTCGCTCACGCTGACCCAATCGGTAATTTTGCTGGCCTGTTGGAGCAAGTCAGTCACGAGGGGACTAATTAGATATTACTGTGACATTTCCCCTCTTAGGTTTTGTGCTTACCATCCTGACTTGCTGCTGATGAGCGGGTAGTTTTGATTTGGTTGGCTGATCGCGAGTGGAAGTACGGTATAAGCGGATGCTTGCAATTGGGGCTGAACAAAAGCTGCCTGTTCTCGTGGGCACTCTCAGTGTTCTTCCTGTACTGCTTAGAGCTCTGATAGAGAAACCTGTCGAGGAAGTCATTGATGAAAGAGGGGTATTGGAGACAGCGGCGGCCCTTTTAAATACCAAAACCATATCCGTCGCTACATGCTACTTATGCCAGCACACCTCGCCAGAGCTAAATAGATTATGCAGCTTCACACATGGCTTAGCATTTGATTACGCTACCATACTATTGAACATCGCTTTGCTAGCAGTTACTAAGCCCGCCAGCATTCCCCGCAGTTTAGCTCCTTCGTTGTCATCATGATGTGAGCATCCTCGGCGATTAATAAATGGGAGCTAAGCAACACTAGATTTAATCCACCTACAAATTTACAGCTCGGACTGGGCAGCTGGAATGCCGGCCATCGGTCGTCAGTTTGGTATTGCGTGGTTTAGGAGCTACTTCAACGCCGTCTAAATCGATTCTGGTGCTGAGGGACTGCTATGCTCTGCTATAGGGTAGCTTATATTAACAGGGCAAGACTAGGAAACACAGACAGCTAGGTGGCAGTATGCAATCTTATGAGCCCCAGGCGCAGTGTAACATAAATCCTATGCGAAGTTCATTCATTTCGTCTCGTCTATCTTCACAAAACCTGACAATCCCAAAGCCCTTGGGCTTCTGTTTGACTCGCGTTTTCTTGTCTTAATCTTCACTCTCTAATGTACCTTGACTTTAATATAAGGAACCTCCACGTCTTCGTCATCCACATCCTCAGCAACAATTTCAAAGATGACCTCCTTCTGGTGCGCAGGGATTGGCTTCTTTGAGATGGTTTCCACCAACTTGCTGAGCTTCAGGCCGTAACGATCCTTGAGCTTTGCAGGAGGGAAGAAGCTTGCATACAGGAGGCTGACCCCTGAGCTCAGCATGCTGACGCTTAAGCCCTTGTTCTTGAAATAATCCAAGAGCTCCTGCAGTGTAATATCGTCTACTTCGAAACGATCCCATATCTTGTCCAGTGTAACCTTGCCCTCAGGACCCTTGTATTCCACCTTGGGACTGGCAATAGGCTCACTGAATCCGAAGAAGGGAAGTGCAAGGTTGATGAAGCCGTTCTTGTATTGCTCGATGTCATCTTTTCCATCAATGACCTTGTACAGCTCGAGGCCAATCAGACCAGTGACCAAAGCGGTTGTGGTGGCGATGGCAGGAATGATCTTTCCAGCAATAAACTTGGTCTTGTGGCGATCTGCAGGCTCGATCTTGTAGTTTTCTGCTCGCAGGTTGCTGCAGGCAGTAATGAAATCGATGTGATGGTTGCTGTCGTCGTCCTTCTCAAAATCCACAGGGGTGAGTTGGAATCCAGCCAGTGTGCTGGGTGATGGAAGGCTGGCGGTGAGCTTGCTTAGGTCATCGTCATCATCCGTAGCACCTGCGTTCGGGTCCTTCGTGTGCAAGTTAGCTTAAGGTCGGCAAAAAAAAAAGAAAAAACCCAATAGAGGAGAATGGGAAGACAACTTACAGGCTCCTTGTCATCAACTTGGATCTTCACGTTGGAGTCGGGGGAGAAGTCAGGCACAATAGTGTTCTCGAGCTCCTTAAGGTAGATTAACCTGTCGTTACCGGGCGACTTGATATTGTAGTTGAAAGCGTGCAGGTTCGCGCCCGCAACAATGAAAGCAAAATGTGTGGGGTTATTGGGGTCGAATTTGAGGGCGTCAGGGGCGCGCTTTGGACCAGACCAGAAGGGGGTACCAGTCGACGTCTCGGCATCCTTGGGGAAGTTGTACAGAAGCTGCTGAACCTTGTTGGAAAATTCGACTTCGAACTGGTTTCTGGCCCAAGCAATGCAGTCCTCGAATGTGCGAGGTCGCTCGGTAGTGAGGTAGTTGCGGATGGTTTCCAGGGTATCCTTTTGGTTCCCTCCCTGCTTCAAAGTCGTCTCCAAAAAGTTGGGCTGAGCCAAGTATAAGTTCACAGTCTGGGGTGCCTTGACAAAACATCTCTCGAACATATATTCCTTGGCCCAGGCAATAGTATGCTCGATTCGGTTGGGGAAGCTGCGAATTGTGCACATGGGAAATTCCTTCTCAGGGGGGTCCTGAGAGGACGAGTAGGACTCCGTAATATGGGGTAAGACAACCTGGGTGTTGCCCTTGGTTCCAAGAGTGCCACTTTCGAGTAGAGGCTTGCGGAAAAATACGCATCGGCGATCAACGTAGGTACGAGCCTCGACGTTGTCCAGGGCGTTGGTAACACCATCAAGAGCCTGCCAGAAATCTTCATTGAACACATGCTCGGTCTCAGGGCCAATACGCTCCTTGAAAGTCTCGATATGTCCACCCAGATCCGGGTTCATGCGCTGAACAGCCAAGGCAGCTCGGTCACTCTTCATACTACCGACATCGGCAGCACGGAAAAGGAACTGACGGTTCAGATTACTCTTTTCGATGGAATCATTATCCGTGACCCAGATCTTGCCCTCGGGGCCAGTTCCCAGTCCCATCATTGCCCAATTCTTCAATGTCTCGCATCCAATGGCTCCTGCACCCACAAGGAACTGCTTGAGGTTGGCAATCTTCTCTTGGAACTCTGTGCCAAAGACGGCAATTTGCCCGTCATAGCGGCTGCCGGTGGGTTTGCAGGTCTCAGCGTTCCTCTGAATACTTGTAGGAAGAGATTCAAGAGAATCAAAGTAGAACCACTGGTTGATTGGCTGGAACTTTCCGGATACTGCCTTGAGCACTTCCTGAGCAGCAATTCCACCGAACAGAGCAGCCATTGGACTGAGATCACCCTTCGCTTGATAGCTGAGCTCCTTGATGAGCTTCTCATCAAACTCCACTTCCAGCTTCTCCTCGGCGGCGAACCTCTTCGCAGCCTCAAGCACAGTAATCGCGTCCTCCTCGTGATGGGGGTTGGGAAGGCGGTCCTTGGCGACCTGGAATGCGTGAAGGGCCTGGAATCCTAGGTGAAGTTGCTGGGGACGATCGAACTTGGCAAAGTCAGACATGATAAATTCGGGCTCCTTCAGAGCGGCAGTGAAGTTCTTGTAGTCGATAAGCTTGGGCATCTTGACCTGTTGATAAATTCCACCCCGCCTGTACTGACCAAGACCAGACACATCACCAATGGAGAAGGTGTAAGGGCCCTTGACAGAAATCTTACGAGGCTCAGAACCATTTAGACCTTCCATCCCCTCGACTTCGGAGAAGGTGACATAGTCGCCATCCTCTAACCCATGGCGTGTCTCGTCTAGAGCAGATACCAAGCCCTCTTCATCGATTCCAGCAATGATACCGCTCGAAGGTGTCTCACCAGTGGGGTCCATGACAGTGAACTTCTCACCAAAGTCACAGAAGATAGATCCAAAGAGACCAAACGTGTCGGCGATGACGGTGTAGATTCCCTTGGTGTGACAGTAATCGGCGATAGCCTTCTGGGCCCGAAGAGGAACGTTGGTAAGGACTACTACCTGGTAGTTATCGAACTGAGATAGCTCGTGCTCAAGCCTAAAGAGACTATAGGTTAGCCGACAATACACGATGCTACCAGGTATTTTGGATTTGTTATCTTACCCGCCAGACTGATGGGCCTTCACTGGAGTATAAGCATTCAGCTCGGCAACCCGGGGGACTGTCACCTCATCACGAGGCTTGCCGACGTCGGCCGGGGTGAGGAAGAATTGGCTGGAAAGGTCTGATATTTCTACGGGAGAAGGATCGTAGAGGGTTAGGCTCTTGACACCAGCCAAGGCGATGTTCTTGGCAATCTCAACACCGAGACCCTTGAGACCAACAATCAAGACGTTGGAAGCACCCATGCGCTTCATCGCCTCGTGTCCTAGGACGTAGAGCTGTCGACTGTAGAGGGACTCATCGATCTCTGTAGTGCCGACAACAGAGCTGTCGACCTGCAGTTGGGTTGCCATATCAATGTCGGCCATCTTGGATTCCTGGTTCGGCGAGGTATTAGCAACAGATGGGCTTTGCTCTTGCCTGAGCTGTTGGCGATGACGTACAGTGGCTAGCCTTTTAGTAGATGTGTCTTGTAGCTCCCCGTTGGAGAGCTTTCGCTTCCCCAGCGTCACTATACTGGCTCGTGGATGCGAAATCTTGGAAGACGTCGCGTTGGTCGACACCGGGTGATCCAGCACCAGGTCGAGCTACCCCGCCAGTTACGTCGCAAGCGGGAGCAAAGTGTATAGAACAGTCGCCTGTTCCTCGTAGGTCGGGGCTGTAGGTCGGGTTGGCTATTGTGGGATAGTTGTAGGAGCGATATTTCGATCAAGACGACGACGATCGAAGAGGTAAGGTGTCAGGTCGCTTTTAAGAGATGAGGTAATGGTAATGCGTCAAGTCGAGGTATCCACGTACCTTTAGGCAGCCTGTCAGAAGCTGAGGCAGTGAGGTGAGGGGCAACCACGGTTGGTGGGCAGGTGGGGCGATAAAGCTCTTTGGAGGCCGCTGATTGGCCATCCTAGCTTGCATTCTAGATAATTCCAGTTCCACATTTTGGCTTTAGCAAGCAAGGCAGGGCATCATTCTCTCTGGTCGAATGACCTACACAAACCTCACATCTGACTCAAGCGAATAGGCTAACCATCTCCAAGAGGGATTACAAATGTAGCTGGATGAAGTATTTGGATTCTGGCATGATTGAATCTAGGTTTGGGGGTTGGTGCTGTTTCCCAGCAGCACACACTCAGTTGATTACTAATAGCCAGAGTCAATCGATTGGCAGCTTCTTGCGTGGTGGTTAATGCTTCCAAGTGATCGTCCAAGAAACCAATGCGGCCCTTGAGGGCCCTTGAGAGCACTGCCTACTGGCGGGTCGAATTCATTTTGAAATGGCCGCAATGGGGGTGCGACGAATGTGGCCAAATTATAATCAATTGAGTCTAGAGCTTTATAACTATGGATATCATCCCTACTTATGTGACGGAATCTCTTGTATCCAAGTGGTGAACAGTGTAAGCAATCCTTGTCTTTCCTGCCACTCTGGGTTGTGCACCCAAGCTCTAGTTCTATTCTGAACCCTTGATCTACTGGACGTTCTTGAGCTCAACCTCACTGTTTGAAGGAGATGATTAGCCATCTGAAATGCAAGGAGTGGTGAAACAAGGCTTACAAGATGAGGTCGGAGTGGGGGGGGATGAGGTCGGTGAAGCCACTGTTAAGAAGAGTTAATAGTCTGTTCGAAAAGCGAGCCTTCACACGACGAATCAAGCGAAAGAGAGGCAGCCTTGGCTGGCTGGCTAGAACGAGGTGTCTTACCGACTACCGTAGGCAAAGTCACTGGATCAAGACGTTAGTTCGAGATGACAAACGGTTACAACACAGTATATAACCATACCTTGAGATGTCAAGAGTGGCCTTCTCGCCAACCTTCATATTGACGACTTCCTCGTCCCAGCCTAAGATGGTTTGTTAGCTTGTTTTGGATAGAAAAATATTAGAGGCAGGTCGCACCCCGGATGACTTGGCCAACACCGATCCTCGTAAGGAAGTTTCCGTCGCCTCGGCCAACGGAGGAGTCGAATCTAGAAATGGTGAGCAAGATGAAGGGGTCTACACTCGGACTGAGGATGAAAATCGTACTGCTTGCCCTTATTATCTTTCTTGGTGGTGTCCTTGAGCCATCCAGTGTACTGGATGGCGACGGTCTGGCCCTTGGTAGGCTGAGCGCCGGTACCCGCCTCAATAACTGTCTTAACAACACCCATTTTTGCTGATTTCTGTAGAAATGCTTTAGAAAACCGGAACATGGAATCTGCAGGCGTGGATGAAAATAATAAACAGGGAAAGCTGAAAGCTCATCCGGGAGGAGGGGAGCTGTTGACTTTTAGAAGCTCCTCGTCCTCCCCTTGGATTGGTGATGGCGGGGCAGAGGCGGATCGACGGCGGGGTGCAACGTCCCCAAAAAATGACGAAAAGCCAATGGCCTCCAATCTGCCAATGAACGTGGGCAAAGACGTGGCTCCTCTATCCACAAGCTTGTGCTTGCCATCCCAAAATCCTGGATGAATTGGTAAGGGGCAGGGCACTGCCACTAATCAGCACCATGGCACATCGAGCTTTCTACCATATAACCAGTTGGCTTTCCAGCATAGGGCCTGAGAATTTGAACGAAATCTCTATGATGGACATTACATAAATTAGGGAAATCAGCGTATTTCAGATCTGGGCCATCCAGCGCTGACATTGTAGCGGGGGGTGGACGAGAGGAGGGAAAGCAAGTATCGATACCTGCCCCACCTCGATGGGTCGTACAGTGTAGTATCATTTTGTCCCTTGCCCCCTGCCCCTTCTCAACAGGTAGGTTGAAGAGCTTGACTCAGTTGGACCATCCTGTTGCTGTTGTTGAGCATGAGAACCGATAGAGAGCGTAAGTAATTACTCAGAATGCCTCGTTTCCCCCATCCTTTTGTTCAATCAAGAGTGCAAGTTCTCGGTTCGGTCAGGTGTCTCATCGAAAAGGTTCAATTTACCGGCCAGGGGGTACCAAGGTACCTCGTATCTACGGGTAACATTGAAGCCAAATTTGATCTAGATAGGGCTTCCCACGCCAGGAGTGTACTTCAAAGTACATAAAAGTACATAGTGCGTGTCAAGATCCTGCAAACAACGTATTTGCACCTCAGGAAGCAGGTATCTTCCGTGGAACATACAGCACAGAGCGTCCCCCTCTGCTGCTTTTGACGGTGTGACTTGCCTTGCTTGCTTACCTTCGACGACGCCCATCTCACCTTTGGGCTTATGTAAGGTCACCAGCCACTGCTGTGGCTTAAGCTTGCTTGGTAACCATCAATTGTTTGCCACTCATCCCGTCCTCCAGCTCACCCACTCTTGAATTTGAAATGATGTCTGCGAAGGTATGAGCCGGAATTCGAGGTCCTGGAGGAGGTTCCGTGAGTTATTCATGTCCCATGAGTAATTGGTCTTTGTTACATTTTTGGCTAGGATGGTATTCCAAGGGTTATCTGGAGCCAGAATGAAGGACCTTAGGATGGGACATAAAACTCAAGGGGAAGGAATCTGAAGCCTAAGTTCGCTTCCCTGACCATGATGCAAAAAAAAAAAGAGAGAGAGAGAAGAGGCGAGCAGTTAGACGTCACATATAATAAGCGCGTAACCGCAATATCCCGTGCCTAAGGCTGCATGGGATTTTAAACAGTATCTTGATCTTTTAGGATGAAACCCAAGGGTTATCAGACATCGATGTCTACCCTAACAATGGGCTGAGGGCTGTTACGTACTGTAAAAGCAGGCAATTGATTAAACTACCTTATGAGGTGCCACGTCTAGGTGGATTAGTTCTGAGCAAAGCCCTCATGCGCCTATGCTCATTCATTCAAGTAAGGATCGGGGCGGGTCGTGTAAGCTCGGCTGGAGAAGCTGCAGAGGCTCAACTCTTGGCCTGTTGCGTGGACAGGTAAGTACATATGGATTCTTCGAGATCCCCATTTAAACAAGGGACAGCGGACGGGCCAGACCCTGCATTCCAATTGTTGGCATGGTGAACTGGCTGACGCGAGTGCCACTTGTAGTTGCCAAGAGTACTACTCTAACCGTTGATTCTCATGACCCTCGGATATGAAGTGGCAAAATGTCAGACATATTCCCTGCCCAAGGGTCGAAACGTTCGAAGTTGTCTCGCCCTAGTAGGTTGGGGTATCTAAGGCATGGTAGCATTAGAGATGCCATATATCATTGCCTCATTGTTCTCCCAGAGCGCAAGAGTGCAATTAAGGTTGGCAATCCACCGCCTCACAATATTGACAGGGATCAAAGGTGTGGCCGCGGCCTGCCGGAACTACATTGACGTGGACATGACGAGGATCAATTGAATTGTCCATAGAAAATATGTAGAATAGGTGGTGCGAGATAAGTCATTAGCAAACGCAAAAGTTTGGCGCATGGAGGACGCGTAATCGTGGGTTTCTTGGAAAATCTTGGCTGCGTCTCAGGCTGAAAGTCGAAATTAAAAAGCAACATGGGCCGGTCTGACTAGATTAGTGGACAAGCCGGCGTACCGCCCTGTACTACAGAGGCAGTTCATGAGCGCTGGGACCAATAATACCGCCGATCGCGCGCTGACGTCAATTCCAACTTGGCCTTGTTGGTTGCAACGACAGACCATCGTTCCCCCAAGAAAGCCCGCCAAGAGTGTTCGGGCCGGGGCCGCAGTCGAGGCCTTCCAAGGGAGCTGTGCTTTTATTACTCTGAGATTGTGGTGTTCGTTAGCCCCGTGGCCCAGCCACACCTGCTCCTGTGCCGTTTCATCCGGATCATCAGCATGAGCTTTTGTCCTAATTATTACCGTGCTGGTGGCATCCGTTGAGCTTGTCGACTCTCAATGCAACCGTCTCGTCATCCATATATATCCTGGTGTGGCGTCTGGCTGGTTGAGGCACATCATCCGTCCATCACCAACTCCTCCCCCACCCCAGCATCAAGATCCATCACCAGCCTGAACTTGCGCGCAAATGGCGGAGCAAAACAATGCCACAAATGGCACCAATGAATCGCCAGCCGTGCAGGTCTCTGCCCCTGAACCAGCTACTTCCAACGGGCCCAGCAACGCGAAGGTCGGATTCGCCAACGGTAATACCAATGGCGGCGACGGTAAACCAGCGCCGCGCAAAACCCATACATTCGGCCGCCCTCTCCGGGCGCTGACCCAGAGAGGTCCTCCTGGTGGATATGATGATACTCCACTCCCAGACGTCCCTCAAGGCTATACACTCAAATTTACCTTTCACCGGGCATCAAACTTGCCCCCGTCGGATCTCCATTCCATGTCCTCAGACCCGTTTCTTGTGGCTACATTGAAGACTTCAAGCCCCAAACGACACAAGGAGGACCCCGACTTAACTCACCGGACACGCACCCTTAGAAGGACAACTGAGCCTGAGTGGGAAGATGAGTGGATTGTCGCCAATGTCCCTCCTTCTGGCTTCCAACTCAAGTGCCGCATTTATGATGAGGATTACCCCGATAGTGATGACAGACTGGGCAATGTCACCATCAAGGTGCCAAAAATTGAGGATCAAGGAGATCCCATCCCGTTACCAGGAAAAGAGTTCGAGGCAAAGCGCCACATGATCAGCAAGCGAGCCTTCTTGTTCAAAGGCATCACTGGCATTCTCACCCATAATTTTCATATGACGCCCCATCTCTGGATCAGCATTGAGATTTTGGGCAAGTCGGATCCTCCGTATGCTCAGATGTGCACTCTCGGTCCCACCACCTACTTCAAACACTTCAGTCCCATGATTGGTCGCCTTGTTGGCATTAAAGTTGAAGTTGATGATGAGAGCCCAGGTGCTGAGGGAGAGCAGCCGACACCAAACAAGAACGAAAGGAAGACAGAGAAATACGAGTGAGTACACGTTTTGGGGGACTATAACCACAATCTATTTACTGACCAATGTCTATAGTTTCCAAGCCATTGAATTGCAGCTTCAGGGACCAGTTCCGTCGCGGCTGTATCATCGCTATGTAGAGTTTCGGCCGATTATCAGCTCCATGTTCATGTCAAAGGGTCTACGCGGCAAGATTCTTAACGCCGCTTTACACAAGCAGCACCGCAGGGTCTACAATTTTGATTCATCTACCGAGTATGGTGCATTCGAGCCCCGCTCGGAAGAGGCAGCACTGCAATTCTTGAAATTGGCACAATTTGGAGAAGGCAATCGGATCTTTACCTACGTGATTACTCTAGACGCCTTGATGCGTTTCACCGAAACCGGCCATGAGTTCGGAATCGACATGCTCAGCAAACATACCATGCATTCCAACGTGGCAAGGTATGTTGCCTGCTCGGGCGAATTCTTTGTCCAAAAACTTCATCACAGCCACCGAGAGGAATCAAGGCTACATGAAGAGGACACGATTGATGTTCCACGGCCCAGTACCAGTTCACGAAGGCCATCGCCTGTGCGAGACGTGTCCCAGTACGAAGTGGTTATCGATAACGATTCCGGAACCTATCGCCCCGACAAGCGCATCCTGCCTGACTTGCAGCAATTTCTGGAGGAAAACCTGCCAGGGTTGAAAATAACCGTCAAGTCAAGCGACGACGAGGAATTGCAAGCAACTAAGGAGGCTCGACGCAATGCGAAGAAGCAAGCGGGCCGAATCATGAATGTTGTGATGAACGTCAGCGATAGCAGTCTCAGCTCTGCCGTGAGCGACTTGGATGATCGCGATAATTGGGAGTCAGGACAGCCGAGCAAGCGCGAGGCTGCACTAGCAGCGGTGGAAAATCCTGCCTTGGCGAAGCAGGCTCTAAAACGATACATGCCGAGACATGGGACTGGCGCCGTTCCTACGGTAGCTAACGGCGAGAAGAGTTAACATGGAGGATGTCCCGCTTCGAGTTGCATGGATTAACACCCTTCATATTCTTTGGGACAAAGTTTGGGATGCTCGCTTCTGTTGGGAGAAGATCACCCTGTGACGGCCGCTCTACTGATGAATGCTATGACCAAGATACCTACTACCGACGATACCACCTAATTTCTCCTTTATATAGTCTAGGCAATAAAAGCTTTCCAAATGTCTAAAACTAATCCTTTTGTGCCTCACTTGGTCCTCACAGATTACTTTTCACGGCGACCCAAATGCTCTGGCACCGAGCAAGCTCCTCGCCATCCTCATCCCTAAATTCACATTTGATTGTAGTCTTTCGGCGCTCCACCGACTCTATCCACGCCGTCGCCATGATTTCTGTCCCAATAGGTATGGCACGCAGGAACTTGATTTCAAGTGTCCCAGTGACGCTCCCAGTTTGAAACGCTTCCCCCTGCTTGGCCAGCTCTGCGTTGAGCTCCGTAAGAACACCCATAGCCTCATCGGCCATAGACATGGTCATACCGCCGTGGAGGATATGTGGTACACCCGAGAGCCCCGGGCCGAGACTGAAAAGGGTTGTGAGCTTGGTGATGGGCTTATTTGGATCCGCGAAATGCTCGTCTTTCTCAAAGAAGCAGAGCATGTGGCGCAGAGCATTATCTGTACGGAGTGTATTGCCGAGGAACTGATCAAGATCAGATGATGGTGGGTTGCGGCATTGGGGGATGAAAGGGATGACGTTTGGCTTGGATAGAAGTGCCGCTGTCCAAGGAACTCCCTGGAAATGAGCGAGTGCTGAAGAGAAGAGATCTGAGGGTGCGTGGGCAGGGATCCAGTTCAAGGCCGGACAGATAAAGCGGTTCCCCAAAGCAGCCATGGTCTAGGGTTGTCTCCTTTTCGTTGGATTCAGTGTGTTGGTGAAAGAAGAAGGAGTCTAGTTGAACTGAATTGGAGAGTGCCGAGGCTCTTTATTCTTATTAATTAATCCTCTATATTAACCCCGGATTCCCCGCACGGACGGGCGGTGTCAGATTCACCCTTTAACAGGTAAGGTAGGTTTGATGACAAAATTGACATATGGGAATTTCGTCTCCTTTTGAGCAATCACCATTTGAGATTTTTTTTTTCAGATGGAATTAGTTGTCGCCAATAAGTTGGCTAGCAATCCGGCACCAATCTGCATAAGTCACCGACCTTGGTAATACTTGGACACTCAAATGAGTGAAACCCACACCCAAGGGGCCAGGCAAGCTGTGTCCCGGGAATGGCTACAACCAACAAAGATCCTTCTCTTTGAGACAGTTTTGAACTTCTAATTCCTTTGTACAAACTTAGCCGCACTCGTGTTACGCGCCGTGCTGCAGAAGCAAGGATGCGGCGCCAAAAGTGGACAGGCATGATCCCGTCCTGCCTCGTGCCTTCAAGTCCTATTCTCGCACCCTATTGTCTATCATATCGGGATCAGCAATAAATAGATCACTAAACCATTTATCCTTTCTAGATTTATGAATTTAACTGCTTTTTTATGTAAATTTCTGATATTCCGTGGGCACGATGCTCATAATGGGCCCTGTCGTTTGGCGCCTCGATTTCAATGTCACCCACCACGGCGCTTAACTGCCCCTGCATGACATCAGCTTGAGGCATCTGTACAAGAGTCCTTTTCCCCTTCGTCATTTCTTCGATTGACATCAACCTGAATTTCTAGACACAAATGCTTCCTCCACTATGGCGAACCCCCTTTCCGTCGCCGGCTCGGCTGTTGCCGTTGTATCTCTGGGCCTTAGAGTGACCGGGGGGATCACGGAATACATCGACGCTCTTCATTCCCGTGACCAGTATATTGCATCTGTTAGACAGAAGAATGATACATTACGAAAGACGCTCCAAGTTGTCGAGGCCTCGCTCTCTCGGCTTCAGTTGCAGGGAGACCATCAAGCGGCTGCGCAGGTAGTGCGAGAATGCCTGGATACGTCGATCAAGGAGCTGAAGGCTTTGGAGGATCTCATCACGGAACTTACCATCGGTGATCCATCGCTGCCTCGCCGGCAAAGCAAACTCAAGACTCAGGGCAAAAAACTGATGTATCCGTTCAGTCGTCCAAAACTCGAACAACTCGGAACGAGACTAGGGCACATAAACGCGGCACTTCAACTGGCGTTGCAGACTCTAGGTCTGTAAGTAAACATCAATATTCCCAATCCGTTGCAGATCATTTTGTAATTCTTTCAGTTCCATATCACAGTTGAGCACTGAGAAATTAGTTACGCTTGAGGCAGCCTCTCATGCCATGTCTACCGATCTCTTAATGGTCCAGTCCGAAGTCTCGGCCATCGGTGACCCCCTCAAAGACATGCACAAGACCATATCTGGATTTGAGACGCGTTTTGAAAGCCTTGAGGATTTATGTAAACGCCTGCTTGAAAGCCCGGCGATACCCCGATCCACGCCAGAGGTGGGGAACTTCTGCCTAGAGCTTCCCATCAATGCCATACTCATGCTTACCCCAAGTCTTAGGCCACTCCGAACATGATCGCTACCCGGCTTCTTAGCAAACCAGCAATCTTGAGAGACATGTGTGACGCTTCTGGAGCTCGGGATCTCTACAAGTCAAATCAGACCCCATCCACAATGAATCATGGCCCAGCACAAACCAGCAGAATGATGTCAAGGTATCCTAGCGGAAGATTTTCATGTCTATGCCACCGCTTGCAGCACCTACAACGGAAAGACTCTGTCTGGGGCACTATCAACGTGTCCATTGAGACCATCACAGAGAAGCATTTGCCTGGGTGCCCAGCCGCTCAAATAATATTGGACACGAACCAAAGCCGAAAGATCAGCTTCACGTACACGGGACTGCGAAATCTGCTCAACTCGGCTGTTCAGCTTTCGTTCATGATACCTTCGGGTGCAGGAGGTTGGAGTCTCAGCTCCAGCATTAATATCTATCCTATTGTCGACTCAGAAACTGCTCCGGCCTTCAAATTATTGACCCTAGTAGAAACCGCTCAGCTGTATATGCCCGAAGAGGAGAAAATGACAAAAAGTCTATACCCATCGGTGGTATCCTCGATACTGAGGCTATTCCAAGCCAAGAAGGCATCCCCTCGAGCAGTTGACAATGAGAATCGGTCTCTCGTCTATTACGTGATTAAATGTGTGAGTGGCAAGCTATTTCCAGTAAACCAGACGTCAACTCGACGCTCTGAAACACTTCATACTATAATCAAATCTCTTGAGTGGTATTATCTAGATAAAGAGTCTCAATGACGAGCAATGCAAGACAATACTCCGAGTCCCAAACCTACCCCGAACACATCACACTCTATCACTTCGTTGCTTGAGGCATCTACTTACTAGTTTTAACTAATCTTGGGATTTAGATTAGAAATATGAGCCCTAATCATTTACGACGATTGCCGAGCCAGACAGAACCTAATGTATTTCTTGAACTTCTCCAATATCTTCTTGTCAACAAGGCCCCGGCAAATGATTATGATAGGGGAGGCAAGTATGTTGATATTGCCCTCTTAGAAAGTGGTTACTTTGCAGTCTTGCTGACATGTCGTCCAGTGCACCCATCGCTTCCATGTTTTCGTTTCACTATTATGCTGCTGTCACTGATCCGGCATACTCTGCTGTTACGGAACTTGTTCTTCGAAATAACACCGAGGATGATGTAGTCTGCATGTCAAAGCAGCCTCCTCCTCTAGCATCACCGGCGATAATTCTTGATCGGTTAGGGAGGGAATACCACGCAGAGCCCTTCGTATTATTACTCCATTTTCTGTCAAGTTCGACTAGGTTGGCTGAAGGTTCGTATTCCCTGAAATTCAAAGGGAACAGTGCTAAATATTCATGTTTTTATTCATAGCCTATGGCTGTGGCCCATTGAGCGTAGCAATTTTATCCAACAGCATGGAACAAGTTGAGCATCTGGTGAAGAATCATCCAGCCACTCTCGCTGAGCGAAATCTTTTCGGATATAATCCACTCCATCTCGCTGCGGACAAGCCGCAATTCTTAAAACTTCTGGCAAAAGCCGCAGATGCCTGTGTTCTCAACCAGACAGACAACGAGTCTAGGATCTCTCCGGTAGAAGCCGCCCTTATGCTCGGCGGGCTGAGGTGTCGAGAGCAAGGAAATAACCACCGCATGTGCCGGAGATGCAGATGTGCCGAGTGTGTCGTCATTCTTCTGAAAGCCGATTGCCCTGTTCCGGTGTCGCCACGATTGAATTACATACTGAAATCTGCTTCCAAAAGATGTGTTCTGAAATACATACGACACATGAAGGCACGGAGAGACAGACTCAAGCGTCTAGCTGTTGACAACCTTTCTACAGAGGAACTAGAGCAGCTAGACCTATCTACTGAACGCGCCCTTGATTCTCTTGCACCCCGAGTCATACAACTCCTACAGAACCGGGGTGTCTCTATCCCTGACGCCCTCGAGGTCGGTACAGATAGCCCTTTGCCAGTGTACCGAAAATTGGAAAATTTCCAATATGCCGAACTCTTCTTCCGGGCTGGCTTTCACGACACAGACGCCTGGCTCGACGTTGACAAGGCGGCACTGAAGAGTATTCCTATACTAATGGATAGGTATTCTATACAAGGCCCGTCCTATCTCCATTGGCTGGGTGCACATGGGGCTACATCTTGCCAATTCCAGTCCTTCGACTCACCTAAAAACATCTTCACCGCTCTTTACATATTCCTTGGAATAGGCCTGAAAATCCAATATATCTTCTCTTCGTCCTGGGATTTCCCCGAGGACCCATTGCCATTATCGCTCGAGGCTCGCAAAGACTGGTTTCACGCTATCAATTCCTCAGTGCTCTCGGCCGAGATCCACGATGAATGTCGGTGCCTATGCTCTCCTGCGGGCTGCACCCCTATAACATCTCTTTTAAAAAGGGCTGTTGAACCCAAATCTTGGAAACATGTGCAGAAAATATCGGGGGGCGTTGTGACGAACGTTGTGCATAGGCCATCCATATCAGGCATGATCAGTCCTTTTATTCGGTACCTAGAAGAGTTTTGGGTCTACTTCGAGATTAAGCACTACACCGAAGCTCTCCGGTATCTGACCTTTGAGGTTCTGGGGATCCCACATTGTTGCTGTCAGGCTCTGCCTCCGCTTTGCAATTCGCCGGACGAAATAGAAGACAAACACGGGTATGAACTGGCGCTGCTAGAAGAGCTCTTGCTCGAGTTTAATGGAAACATCACCAAAATCCTTCAAGATCCGAGCCTAAGTTTTGATCATATAGCCAAGTTCTGGACAGATACCTGGCTAGATCGAATGACTGAAGTTCTGGATAAGCTTGAAGGAGACAACTTAACAGTCGACGAGAAACGGGGAGCTGAGGAGATCGGGGTAGTCTGGAAGCCATTGGGACCTGAACCCCCTGAGCCCCCCATTCCTGAAATACTGGGAAACCCATACGATAGGAGCACCATAGATCACTGGATGTATGAGGTGTATAAGATTGAAGCAGCATGTTGAAATGTGCTTGATGGGTTGGTAGAATTTAGCAGTCCGGGATAACAAGACATTTCCGACCGATGTAGTCACAGTAAACGGTTAAAGGATCATGGATGATTAGGTATCATATAAATTCATAAATTTTGTCCTATTTGATCTTTATCACAGTTATGTCCATAGTGCCACCGTTCACATGATATTCACCAATCTCACACAAAGCTTCTCCTTGGGCCTCAAGGTAAAACTTGGACTAGCAAGCTCGACCTGCGCTTGCTCGTCGACAGCCTCTATCCGAAATTTGGTGACCATCTTGATCAGCATGACCTTCATCTCCACGATCGAGAGCTGTTTCCCGATGCATACGCGGGGCCCATTGTGGAACGTCTCGAACGCATAAGCGTTTGCAGCAGCACCTTGTAGGTTGTCCCATCGGTCTGGGTCGAACTCACTTGCCGTTGGGCCCCAGACCTGCGGGTGGAGGTTGATCACGCCAGGGCAAGGATGGATCACCGTGCCTTTGGGGATGTGTACTCCGGCGATTTCAACGTCTTCGATGGTCTCTCGGGGAACATAGGCGACTATTAGGGGGTAAATGCGTTAGTTGTGGCCTTTTTTACTTAATTTTTGGGACGAAGGGATCAGAACATACCTGGACAGTGTGTTCGCAGCACTTCTCTAATAAAGTTGTCGAGGAACCGGAGGCGCCCAATCTGCTCATAGCCAAGTTCCTCCGGATCTAATCCCAGGTCTTCAATCTCCTTGCGGATACGGTCTTGGTGTTTGGGATCTCTTGATAAGATTGAGACTGCCCACACCAAGCTACATGATGTAGTGTCGTGACCTGCATACAAGTAAGTTTCCAAAAAATGATCGAGACTGATTCCAACATCTGGACGTACCTAGTATTAAAAGGTTTAAAATCTAGAGGTGAGAGCAATGGGTCAGTCTTAAGTCTGCGATGTGTACGCTATGGTATGCTCACATATTCCACAATCTCGTCATCGTTCCATAGAGGCTCTTGCTCCATCATAAGACGGATCGCATTGGGAGTCCCTGTCTTGGTGCCGCTGTTGATTTGACAACGACAGTCCCGAACATGGGCCCAGATCAAATTTCTAATTTGTGCACAAGAACTCAGGAAGTCATTGTTCATTTCGAGAGGCAGAAGTCTCCTCAGAGGCAAGTACGAGCTGAGGTAGTGGATTATATGCCCCGAAATTGATTGCTTCATTGTTTCACCGATGAGTGTGTGAAGTGGCGAGTCATCAGACTCGACGTGGTTCAAGTCGACTCCCAGCGCCTTTATTCCAATTAAATCGAGGGATGCTCTCCACAGAAGGCTCTCCACTGCGGGCTGTTAGAAAATCTCCCTTGGAACTGACAGGAAGATGAATTGATGGAGCTAACTTGCCTTCAACCACTTTGGATCTTTGCCGAGCTGACTCCAGACAGCGTGAGAGAGAATCAGCCTTGGCGGTTATAGTTGGAACGAAATTCTTGACAGATGGGATGGAAAAGGCTTCTGTATCGCAGAAAAGAGTGGTCAGTTCCGTGTCACCCTGGGCTCAGACAGGCTGAGAACGTACTGAGCAGAACACCTTTGCGATGGCGGTGCAAATCACCCTCTGCAAAGGGAAGGCCATCGCCAATTACAATGGTAGCAGCCTTTCTCGTCAACGCTGGTTTGGAAAATGAACTGTTCTTGGTCTGAAGGACTTCTTGGTATGCTTGAACCGAGTTAATGACAAGGTATTCTGAATTGAAGAGCCCCAAAAAGCGTATGAAGGGGCTCTCGGGCCAGTGACGGGACCACTCTTGATAGAGATAAGGAACCCAGGCGGCCTTGAGGAACTTTTTACATTGGCCAAAGATGAAATCATTATCCTATACTCTGTGTTAGTCCAGGTGGGAATCAGGTGAAAATCAGGTCACATGTGAAAAGAAAGGAAAAGAACTAGCAAAGGCCACGCACCTTGGGTCCAGGGAGTTTTCTTAGAGGTGAGACGTAAAACGGGTATATGAATATGAAGAAAACTAGTTTGGATACATGGTACAAAAAGAATGCAAGCAGTAGTATGACTACTAAGGCTCTCACCAACGTTGGGGTGACTGGTTGCACTGTGAACTGACTCATGGTTGGTTGCCTCAACTTGCAGATGACAGGTGGTTGTGTTGCAGAGAGAGCAAATCAAGTGAAGCAGGATATTTGATTTATATAAAATCCCAACAGGAGCCAATTAACACTGGTGGCAGTGTTGGCCTACGGGAGGGAGCCATCCCAAACGATGGAGCTCTTTGTCAACCCATAATTAATCTAGGTCGGGTTAGTTTTTGGTCACTTCGACAAGGATCGACATGGATCCGAAGCAATAACAAGGAGAAAGAGGCAGTAGGTCTAGGTGTTCTCGGGAGACAGGGGATTGTTCATTTGGGTACAACGCGGGTGGCCGATGAATCCAGACGTGGCTCCCGAGAACCCATGCCAGGTACCAAGGTGGCTTTAGGGGTTGTTGGAACTAAAGTGTATCTACAAAGTGAAAGAGCCAAGGATCCATAGAAAGGCATGCTTGTTCGATCTTGTGTGTAGATGAGCGTGGCGGATATCAGCCCAATGACCTGGGGTGTGGTAATACCAATATGTGTGGCAGCCACCTTAGGATTTTGGGTTGCCAAGCCTTTGGTGACCTTTGATAACAATAACGTCTTCGGTACAAGCCAATAGCTTTGCCACAGGCTGACAGCGTATGATAATAGATCTGACATGTTTTGATAAGGGACTTGGGAGCTAGATTATCATCTGCGAAATCCTTCACCCCACAATGGTGAAGGAAAAAGGGACCAACAAAGACGGATCCATCTACCTACGAGTTCACGCCTATGTAATTCTCCGTCCTATTCATGCATCAACGAATGACGAAACACCGTTCCAACGGTGTGGCTAGTGTGGGGATCGATCCTCCTGAACGGAGCCAGGAGTTCCCACATACGAAAAACGATGGTCGTATAGAGGCAACCATGCGCGAGCTGATCAAAGACACATAAACATGCAGAGAAGAAAAACAACCAGGAAGCATCTTCCGAACCTCTGGGGGCCTGACCGTTGCAAGTTCCACAACATGGCAGCGGAATTATGGCAAGACATGTCTTGCCGGGAACTTGAGGGCGTGGTAAACGGCTAGGAGCAGCCGCGCATGATGGAACAGCTCATCGTAGCGGGCCATGATAGTATAAGCTGCCGTCTATTTCTGAACAGCATATCTCGGCGTTTTATTTCATGTGATCTTGTTTCAACCATTGTTGGGGGCGATAGACGCGCAAGCAAGGTGATTCCTTTGTGCAGCATTTGATCCGTGTTGCAGCCATTATAGCACACAAAGGCGATTTCCAGATATGATCGAAGTATTCATACATCCATGCTTTTAGGCAAATCAGTGGGTACTCGATCGTCATACGCACTACTCTGCCTCCTTTACGATCCAGGGGGGCGGGCAGGGGGCTAGATGCAGTGCGGCTGTCAGTCAATGTTGGGCGTTGATTTGCCTGCTTTCATTTTCTGACCGCTTCGTGGAAGACTGGAAATACATGCGAGAGATGAACAGGCCCCGGAAGCACATATCAGCTGCCGGGGGTTGCCATGCCCAGCACGGCAGAGCGCCCAGCAGCGGCAGACTGGGGTAGGGTAGCTGGTTCATCGGCTGATCATCTGCAGTGGAATGCATGCAGGAATCTCGTCCAACAGACGTCAATTTCAAACGTCGTGCAAGCCCATTGGGTTCTGCTGTTGGCTTCTTGGCAGCTGCAATGGCGATGGTGACTGCGATCCCTTTGACACTCAGGACCGGGGACGAGATCAAACGAGCTTGACAGTGGCATCACATCCATTCATGCGAGCCACGGAGGCAACCAACGGCGCCTAGGGCCTGGTGGCATGTGAAAGCAACGCAAGACGGAGGCGTTACGAGTTGCGAGTCAACATCCATCCATCTGATTGAGGCTGTCACCACGATATCATTGGATGCATGGATGGATGATCTCGATTATAATTAGACCGTCAGCAGTGGCTTGATGGCACCTTGGTGTGGCCCCCTGTAGGACCCCAGCTCTAGGGCTGTTCTTAGCGGGTGGGTGCCCAGCCTTAGGGACGGTCGGGCCACTACGGATCTGTGTTAGCGCTGTCACAGCGACGGGAGTGGCGGCCTTCGCGCTTATTCCTACCGCCCGTCATCACCAACAACCGTCACCCACATCCTTCCAATTCCTTCAATGCAACCAAGCAGAAGCCACCCGCCCTCGACCCGCGCTGTTGGCTCGGAGTAATATACTCAACGGGAGCCTGGAAGATGGCATCCTGTCAGGGGGGCACCATTGTTCTGGCCCGGGACTTCCCTGGCCTCCTGCGGGAGATAGGATAGCAGGCAGCCCTTACCACGGATAAGGACGTCGGCGGCCGAACCGCACCCCTTTCTTTCCTTTTTTCTTCCCATTGTGGATCCATTCTTAGGAGGATTTCTATTCAGACTCGGGTTCTTTCACCTCAAAGCATTGTCTTTGATTGCACGCATCCTTGGCCCCCAAGCCACTCCCACATGGACGGCTAGAGCGGCCAGCGCAGCAGAAACAACGGTGAATGTGTGCAACCCAAATTATCCGAATCGACTTGTCGAGAAGCATGCAGCAAGCTTAAGTTGATGCTGTTCGCTGGTGACCAAGCCATCGGCCGTGTCACCCTGCCGCCACCCAATCCTGGGAAGCCAAGCCTGGCCAGGCGATCTTTTCCCTGACGCTCTCGGCTCAAGACATCCAAAACATTGTGGCTTGGTAGGGAAAATACAGGAGATGCGGGGGAGAGAGACGCCTTGCCGTAGGTCTCGCGTGTATACGGACTCCGTCGGTAACAAGAACCCACGCTGTGCGAAGTCTATGTGCGACTATACAGGCAGCTCATGGACACAGCGCCCCGTGATTTTCATGCTCGCTCTTCCGGCTCTTGGATCCGAAGAGAATAAAGTGAAGAAATGCAAGAATACTCCACCTCTGGGCCCCCGAGAAGGCCTGATATGGCAACGATGTCCTATCCTTTTCCCTTTCTCTGTCGATTCACTTGATATGGGAGCCCAATCAAGCATGCAGCAAAATATATGGGTTGGTGGGTGGTATATCACGTCACTTGGTGTAACATCGCATGGTCTGCCTAAGCGTGCATGAGAATTAACCAACATGTAGCATTTACCAACTACATGGTTCGATGGACATACATGCAGCTGTCTGTTTGCCAGTTGACCCTAATCCTCGGGCCCGAAACGCTGACCACACACGCTCAACGGAGAGACACGGTGTCTTATCACCAGCACTCAGCTTCCCCCTCGGTGTGGCTCTATTCCAACGCAAATGCGGGCGTACCCAAAGCAGGAGCTCGCCCCGAGGGGCGTAGAAGACTCCGGCCAAACCCTCAGAGGTCCCATGTTCGTTGATTTCATCATGTGTTGCACCACATACTAGCACAAGATCATCATGATTCGAGAACAACATTGGATGGATATACGAACTTGTATCAGGACCAGCCTTTCCGCTCAGCTACTTTACACCAGACCGTTGATATCGTATTTGGGGCTGTCTATTGTCCGCAAGTTGGCTTTTTTTGCAACGGCTGCATGTGTCACCACGTTCTTCGCCCAGCGCCAAAGACATGGTGGACAAATCAAATAAGTTTCCGAAAACAAAAACGCAAATGAAACCAATGCCTTCCATATGCGGCAGCCTGCCCACTAGTGCCGATTTCGAGATTGGGGGCTGCAGATTGGAGTGGGATAGTCTCGTTACAGCCACCAGATATGCCAACCCAATCATTTCCCGCCATCCAACTCACCGTTTCTTCCCTCGTCGACGTGCCTTGTCAGCAATGTAACACACGCAGGTTTTAGCCGTTCCTTTGGTATCGGCACACCTTGGCAGGGAGACTCCCCCTCCTCGCCGCTGGGGACAATAGGAGTAACACAACTCATGTGGTGGACCAAGCTGTTCCATGAACTACCCGATGCCCTGACCGCTGCAAGAAGCCCAGGCAGCGCGCCATGATTCACTTTGCCGTTGGGGTGCCGATCAAGCCCTCTTTTTGCTTTTTTTTCTTTCCATTAGGGATGTCCGCCAAAAGTCCTCCGGCTGCCCGCCTTGTCGGAACCAGCATGCATGCGTTCGCGTTGGGGCCGGCCACCTCTCCAGCACTCCGCATCAGAGATATAATAGCAAGGGCCCAACGTTGAGAGCCACTCCCCTCTTCACGTGGTATCTCCATGGTATCTCTCACCATTTGAAAAATATTGTTTGCTGTCTCTAGCACATTATCCTCTTTCTTTTACCAATCCTCAAATCAACTCAAACCCACACAGGGCTGTCTCATCTTTGAAATGGAGAACGAACAAGCTCCTACTTCATCTAAGAGTAGCATTCAGCCACCTGAGGGCACAAGGAGCTTTGCAGATTGGAAGTGGAAGGGCACTATTGTCGTGATATATATGACGAGCTTGATCAACGGTATGCCCCGGGTGACATCTTTTTCCAAAGAACGAAGACCTAACTGATTCGAAAAACAGGCTATGATGTCAGCAATGTTGCTAATATCCAGCCACGCCTCTACGAGGCGTTTGGTGGTATCGAGCTCCTACCCTGGATAGGCTTGTCCTATTCTCTCGCCAACTTCGCCGTCCTCTCTCTAGGGAGAAAGGCGACGTACTGTTTCGATCTCAGGATCATTTACCTCACTAGCTTGGCCATCTTTCTGGCTGGATCTGCCGTCGCCGGCAGTGGCAAGAGTTTGACCACAGTCATCGTTGGTAGAGTGATCATGGGCGTTGGCGGAGCCATGGTCCAGCAAACGTATGTCCCACACCTTTCTATCTGTGAGATCTCTATTGAGTAGCACACTCTAACTCGAACTGCAATAGAAACATGTCGTACATGGCCGTCTTTGCTACTGCTGCCGAGACCCCTGGCCTCTTTGGCACCATGAGCGCCATGTGGGCAGTCGGGCTCGTCGTGGGAGGACCTATCGGGAGTGCCTTTGCTGAAAATCCTCATGCAACCTGGCGATGGGCCTTCTATCTGAACCTGCCCCTTGTCGGACTCGGCTTCCTCATCTCGGCCTTCTGCGTTCCTACGCATTCATTCGCGACCCAGATCCCCATCCTCACCCGTCTGAGGAAGGCCGATCCTCTAGGGATGCTGTTCAACATTGCCCTTCCCGTCATATTTGCCATTGCACTGACATTCTCCGGCCCCATCTGGGACTGGGGCTCTCCAAACTCGATTGCCGTCTGGGTTGTTTTCGGGGCCGGTCTCGTGGCCTGGTGGGCTCAGCAATACTTTTGCATCTTCACTACTCCAGAGGACCGTGCGTTCCCTATGCACATGCTCCGTCGACTTAACTTGATGCCTATCTGGCTGGCCTCCGGGTGCGCCGGTGCATCCTACGCGGTCACTCTTTACTACAGCCCCTTGTTCTTCGCCTTCGTCAAAGGCCATGATGCACTCGCCCAGACTGTGCGACTGCTGCCGTTCATCTTGCCATTCATCGTCGTCGTCATGTGCACCGGCGCACTCCTGCCTCTTTTCGGACGATACAAGATCATCTATGTCCTCGCAGGCACCTTCACAGTCGCCGGGGCCGCCGCACTGAGCTCAACTTTGAAGGCTGACATCTCCGAATCTCAGGTCATGGGCTTCGAGGCCCTCCTGGGGATTGGTCTCGGTCTACAGTTCCAGCACGGGTTCGGCGTCTCCAACGTGATCAACAAGAACTCGCGCGACCGGGTTGACAGCACGGTCATCTGCAACATGTTCCAGATGGGGGCCATCTCCACCATTCTCTCCGTCGCCGGCTGCATCTTCCAGAATGTGGGCTACTCCCTTCTCGTAGATGCCGTTGGTGGAGAAGGGTTCTCCGATCATGATATTCGCGAGGCCCTTGCCGGTGTATCCTCTCCCATCTGGCGGACGGGAGACCAGGCGGTGCTCAAGAGCGGTATCGAGGCTGTGACCAAAGTCATCGCCAAGGAGTTCTACATCGTCATAGCTACAGGGGCCTTGTGTCTTGTTTGTGGAGCCCTCATGAAGTGGGAGAAGCTGGACTATGGAAGAAAGAAGGCTTCGAAGCAGGAACCCGGAGACTCGAATTGAGATGGCCGCGAGCCCCGCCGTCAGAGCTAAATTGAAGCATGCCGTAGAAGGTTCTCCTGGGAGGCCTTCTCATTGAGTGTATTGAATCCACCTTGATATCTTTGCACAGCTAGCTACTAAGTAAGATTGTTCTCGTGCCTCATAATCGTAAATCTATCCCACCCGAGTTCTTGACGAGTGAACATCTGCAGATCCGATATTACGTACCTACCTAGGTAGTCATGATCAACCCCCATCCATCGGAAGCCAATGCATGCTGCTCGCTGAATTCTTGCCTTTCTGAGAAAGGCAGTGCATCAGGCATACCGTGTGGAACGAAAGCGAAGAAGATCTCAGCACTGATGCCCAACCTCAAAGAAAAGATACCACAACGGGAATAAAGATGAGAATCGCTCAGGCCCCCATCGTCCGAGGGTGTGTGAATAGCAGGAACGTGCCCAGCTCGACGCATGATTCCCGTTCATCTGTAATTTAAAGCCGTTCCGTCTCAGCCGCAGGCCATCGTTACATCCCTCTGGGAGATCTGGGTTTCCGGTATGCACATGCAGATGCAGATGGGATCGGGAAACCCATGGACAGCGCACTTGCCGATCGGGCTGTGGCATCAAGTGCCAAGCTATGCGGGCCCCTTGCGCGGGTGGATGGGACAACGAGGACGGGCGATTGTGTTACATGCGGTGCAGAGCCCCGTGGGATATTGCAAAGGATATGATATAGTAGATGATACCAGAGTGAGAGAGGCAAGTGGGTGACATTGAAATTGAGACACTCAAACATTAAGCTGCTTAATTTCAGGTCTGCGACCGGTATTATTAGACTATTGAGTGCTAATAATACATACCTCAGAGATAATATAAGGGATATTATTACTTAATTCTATTTTATACTACTAAATTTCTCTATTTATTGTGGTAAGTAGTCTGTTTATAACTAACTCTTCTATTAGGTGTCTTATTTCTCCTGTCACCCACTTTGAGAGGTACGTAAAATTCCGCGATGCGGAAGAAGAGAGACCCACAGTAACGAGGAACGTCACTCTGGTGGTGGCCGCCAGCTGAACAGCAGCGGTCTTCAGTGGACGAACGCTATAGGTACCTGTATGCTAACCCTAACCCTGGAACCACTGCTATAGTAGATAGTAGCTGTGCTACCTGATCGCAGCCACCAACTCTGTGAAATATACGTAGATTGCAAATAGCCGTAATGAGGAGAAAGAACGTGTTCGATTTAATAATATAGAACAGACTGGATCATAATCCGGAGCCTTCGGTTGCTGCGGAATGCGGCGTTGCGTCGGCAGAAGTGGAAGCCTTCGGGGCCAGCGATCATTCCGCTCCGACAGACTGACATCCATCGCGGTATAATTACGTCCCAGGAAGGGAGCCTCTCACGTGCTTCCACACACTGCCTTCCTCATCTTCCAGACATCAGAAGTCATCTTGCGCAAGATCGTTAGATTCATTAGGAATTGCTCCTGGGAGCTGCTACGATCATCATTCCGGGAGATCCGGCTTCAATTCCCCTCCATCATCGTCACAATGTTGGCGGAGATCTCACGGCCCTGGGTCTTAATGGCCATATCCGCAGCATGCTTCTTCCTCACACTCTTCAAACTCATTGCGGCCTTTGACCTGCCAACGCTGACCTCCTGGCCTAAGTTCAAGGAGACCTGGTTCGGCGTCCTCTGGACCTACGTCGCCCCCATCACCAAGAAGTCCGGCCTGCCCAAGGTCCTCCCCCTGGTCGAGGGCCGCGTCCGCAACGGCGAGGTCCACGACAAGGTCGTCAGCCAGCCCCTCCACGGCACCGTCCTCGAGGTCGGCGCTGGCAGTGGGCTCTGGACGGACGCGTACAAGAAGGTCGCCGACGACGCCAAGCGCACCGGGAGGCCCGGTCCCACCAAGATCTACGGCGTCGAGCCGAACCACATGTCGGCGGCGACGCTGAGGCAGCATGTCAAGGAGATCGGCCTGGACCACGTCTACGAGGTCGTCCCCGTGGGAATCGAGGACCTGGACAACCCGGGTGCCTGGGGCGCCACCATCGAGCCCGAGAGCGTCGACTGCATCGTCACCGTCCAGTGCCTGTGCAGCATCCCTGAGCCTGAGAAGAACGTGGCCCTTCTGTACAACTACCTGAAGAAAGGGGGCAGGTGGTATGTCTACGAGCACGTTCGGAACGACCGTGGCGGTCTCTGGTATTTTTTCCAATGTAAGGACCCCAGCCAGTTTTAGTAACGAAGAATCCAGTTCTAACTTTGAGATGGCAGCTTTTACCGACTTTTTCTGGAAGTACATGATGGGCTCGTGTCGTCTGTGTCTTAACACGGAGAAGACCCTGACCCATACCGCCATGTGGGATAAGATTGACCTTGCCCAGCCTCCGGAGGAGCCTTCTTACCAAATAGTGCCTCATATTTATGGTACACTAGTGAAATAGGCTTTCAATAACAATTCTGGGGAGTGCTTGTGCTCCAGGCGAGCTCGAAGCACTGGGTTGGATCGATTTCCTAGCCCAGGATGGAAGGACTTCGAAAACTTCACTCGGTGAATTCTAAGGAATAGGCGTAGGTTTTCGAGAAAGATGGGATGGGTGGTACCGTCAGGGCATCGAGGTCTCCAAGGAACAAATAAAATCTTATCGTTTCGAAGTCATAGACTCTGGTCAGTTGCTCGCCAAAAGGGGTAATGAGGTTGGGTGGGTGAAGTGGATAGGAAGGCCCAAATCGCAAGCAGACCAGAGTGAACACTAATCTGCCATCATGTAACATATATCTCCATCAGGATAGCTCCAACACCAATAGACATAGTATTATCCAACGCTATCTTCATATCCTTGTGCTCGACTACTCAAACTTCTTTGGTGTCAAGGAAAGCTTCGCACTCTCACGAGCCAAGTACTCTTCGAATCTCCCTATCCCTATCGTCAAGCATAGCAGGGTCAGGCATCCCATAAGCCTCCTCCGTCTGCTTAACAATCTTATTAACCCAAGCACCCTCCTCCTCGGCCTTTCCTTGTCCCCCAAAGTTCACACTTCCCAAGCCGTTCCAAACGGTCTGTATCGTAGAGCTCAGGTTCCCCAGGAAATGCCCTATGCCACCGGCTCCTCCCCCCATGTGGTACGACTTGAAAGGTCCCTGGACAGCCCACCTCGGTCCCAGGCTCGCTTCCATGACTGTATCTAGATCCTTTGCGCTCACGACATCATTCTCAACTAGGTACACGGCCTCCCTCAGCAGCGCAAATGCCAGCCTGTTGCCGACGAAGCCTGGGATCTCCTTCTTCAGAACGACTGGACGGTGGCCCGAACCAAGAGTCTCGAAGTACGTGCGGGCAAAGTCAGTTTCCTCAGCCTTCGTCTCCGGAGACGGGACGATCTCAATGAGGGGCATGATGTGAGGTGGGTTGAACGGGTGCACGACGAGCAGACGGGTGCGGTCCTTCATAGACTGGTTCTGAGCGGATGCGAGGATGCCAGAGGTCGAGCTCCAGAAGTGGGTGTGAGGAGGGGCGGCGGCCTCGATGGCCGTCCATGTCTTCTGCTTGAATGAGATGTTCTCGGGGCCTTGCTCCTGGATGATGTCGGCGTCTGCACAGGCGTCTTCGAGGGAGTCACATATCATCAGGCGGCCGGTGGTGATGAGATTGGCTACGTCGAGGGGCGGGCTTTGAGGGTCGTTTGCGTGGAGGTACCCGGGGAGGACGGAAAGGAGGTGCTCTTTTAGATCTGGTCTTGGATCGAAGGCTTTTACTATGCCGTTTGTGAAGCGTAGGTGAAGGGCGGCGAAGGAGATGCCGATTGATCCCAAGCCGATGAGGGTAATGCTGTAGCTCGGTGGTGATGACATGATGAAGCAAGGTGAAGTAAGGAAGCCTGTAGATATGAAATTAGAACAGTCTTCCAAAATTCTACACGATCTGATCGTACCTTTTCTGATTAGTGTGGTAGGGTGCTGGATGGCGAGAAGTGTCACGTCGACGAGTTGTGACGACGAACGACGACGGACCTCCACCTCCCGCGGGGTCAATCGTGAGTCGTCTCCATTTCCAAATCCGACTATAGCCGTGAGCTGAGGATCTGCGAATTCATCACAGCGAGGGCACGGGCTCTCCTGGAGCATTTTTGGTGTTTTTCTGAAGGCGAAAATGTGTACGCTGGTATTTGCATGTACTTTGTCACACCTTGGCCTCATCACACATTTACTAACTCATCACAGGCATAGATCAAGCATCCTCCTCCACCACTTCGTCTCTGTCAGTTTGCCTCCTCTCGAACCATATCATCTCCTTCAAAGCCGGCTCAAGATCTAATCCCATCCTCACAGCCACTCCTCCCTCGAACGAAAACTCGGCCGCGATGGGGTCTGCACCACCCTCGAGGAAATCACAAAGATATGCCGTGTACTTTGTCTGGCCCTCCCGATGCTCGAAGTCCAAGGTAAAGCCCAAAGAGCGGTCTGTCGCATCGATGAATAACCTGTCATCCTTAATTTCCACCCCCAGGCTGCGGTATCCCGCGTTGGAGTAATCCCCCGTATAGGCCGCAAGCGGTGTCACCTGCGGCTGCAGCTCGGTTTTGCCTCTTCTTCCCCTGGCAAAACGGGGAGGCGGACCGGCCGCGACCTTGGTGGCCCTTTTCTTGCCCTCTTTCTTCTTGCCCTTCTCCTGTGCTCGCCGTTCCTCCTGCGGTACCCCCAATGCATCGTCTAGGAGTTCCCGCATCAAGATCGAGCTAACGGCCATGGCCCCAGAAGCGTTCCCGAGTACAACGGCCCCGAACTTGAGTTCAGGCACGAAGAAGAATCTACCGCTAAACCCCGCCGTGTTCCCGTCATGCCATATCACTGCATGACCTCGATAATAGTATATTTCGATCCCTGCAGCGTAGAACGAAGGAGAAGTCAGAGGTTTGAGCCTCTTGCCGCTCGGGTCTCTGAACGAACGCAGGCGGACCATCCCCTGGTAGACGTCCTCGCAGATAGGCCCCTCTCGGTTCATCAGAGCCTTGACAAATAGAACCAGGTCGTTGGCACTCGATACCACCGACCCAGCCCCCTGAGCCTCTGGGCAGTCCTGGATTTGGAATCCGTAGTAGGTCGAGTCCTCCTTCTCCCAGAGATAGCCTGTAGATAGGCGTGAGCCCAAGCCGTGATCTCTTGCCCTCTGAGGCTGCAAGTGCGTCGACGCCATCCCCAGAGGGGCGAAGATACGGTCATGCAGAAAGTCTGGAAAGGACTTCTTGCTCTTCTCTTCTACGAGGTGTGTAGCTACTATGTACATTGTATTCGAGTACAGGTATCTAGAACGCAAAGGGGCCGCGATGGATAGATTTCGCAGGTTTCTCGTGATGGAGCGTGGTGTATCAGGGGGTTTGGCACGCACGCCCAGGCAAGAATTATTATGTCTAGATGTATTTATTTTCCATCAGTAGCTGGTCAAACTACCTGATATAATGCTAGATTTCGTAAGGATCCTGTCACTAACCCTGATAATCCCGTCCTGTGGCCCAAAACATCGTCGACCGTCACACCTGCAGTATAAGTCTCATCTGACATGACAAAGTCCTCGGGCAGCAGGGTCGACATGGGCGTATCGAACTGCACCTCCGGGTGACTCTTGTTATCGCTCACAAGCAGCACCACAGACGCAGCAGTAAGTGACTTTGACATTGAGGCGATATCGAAGACTGTGTCTGGAGTGCAGGGCGTCTCCGGGTCCAGAGATGCATAGCCATAGCCCGCAGAGGCGAGCTGGTCACCCTGAACAATGGCGACAGCGAGGCCAGGGACATGGTTCTGCTGCATCAATGTCTCCACATGGATTGGAAAATCGTCTGAATGGAAAAGATTCATTTTGGCCCTTCTGAATTCGAGTGTCGAGTGCGGGTGCATGTTGAGAAAGCTAACAGCTGTCAGCATTTACTATAGTTGGAATAGATTCCGGGCGGTGAGAGCTATTTTGCCCCATTCAACAGATAGACGAATAGGCCCTTCCGCTTTTTTTCCTAATGGCTGGCTAGCTTTGGCAGCGAAAATCCGCCATTGGGCGTCTATCTCAAAATCGCCTCACCCTTCCTATATGGCTTATTGTGTCTACTATCACCCAACTATATCCCACAAAACTACGTAGATGTATCAATCAAAACACCAGTATTTCATTAGAATCGCATTGAATATCATTGACAATACAAATAAATAAGATCTAAATTGTCCCAGTAGGTTTGAATGCAAATGTCTCCAGAGCTTGGCCCTCCTCGCTCAGATTCACAATGCCAGGCTGAAGGCGCCTAGCTGCTCAATGTGCTCTGAGCTCTTTCTCAATACACTCTCACTATCGTTTATTGTGGCCACTTTAGAAGGCAGCTTCGTGAGGGCGCTCGGGAAACCTATAAATACCCAGTGCCCCCTCCTCCTCCTCCCAGAAAACCTCTCCTTTTCATCCTCTCAACCCAACCATCACACTTCTCTGAGCGGTAAGTGGCCAAGCATTTCCTCTATTCCAAGAATATCTTATCTTCCTTTATTAGATTTCACTAACACTTTCTCTTCCTAGCAACAACCAACCACCACCACTAACTACGACCAGCAACATCAACGCTAACCACAACCACCAACACCAACACTGCCGTCACCAGTCAAAACCAACACTGCCGCCACCAGTCAAAACCAACACTGCCGTCACTAGTCAACACAATGGCTGAGACTGTCGAGACTCACTCCCTTCCCGTCGCCGAGGCTACCATCAACCCTCTCCCCAAGCTAGGCATCCATCTCCCGGTCCAGAAGGATCTTAGAAAGAAGTTAAACTCCTTCAACCTATTCAGCGAGCTCCCCCAGGAGCTTCAGGACGAGATTTGGACACTTGCTGTGCAGACTCCTACTGTCTTGGCACCGCAGCGTGTCACTGAAAATGGCCTTGTAGACTGGAACAAACAGGCCAAATGGTCCTTCCAAGGAATGGACCCGCACACCATCAGCCAGGTGTGCAAAAATGCAAGATACATTGTAAAGAAGCACTGTGTCGCCTTCCGGGGGAAGAACAACACCCCCATCACCACCAAGACCCCGGTAATATACGCGAACGTCGATACCACGATGTTCGTCATCGGTGATGTTATATCAGAAGGAGACTCCTTCTATGAAAATGACATAGCCAAGATGAAATACATTACGATCGAGGGTCGTAATCCTGGGTTCTGTTGGGTCCCAGACCCTTACAATCTCTTCCCTGGGCCTGCCTCAGGAGCGCTTGGAATCCTGGCGACCCTAGCCGTGGACCTTAAGGCAGTGTTCGTTCAAAATAAATTGACGATCAGTGCATCAGAAGATCCTGAGCGCGTCGCTCAGGATCTAGAGATGTACCAGACACCCGACTCCGTCTCCTTCACCGACGGTATCCGGCCATTAAACGCCAACCTGTTTGCATATCTTTCTCGCTTCGTGAGCTATAACGGCCCTGAGATCAACGATGAACGACGCTGTACATTCGTACAGCATAGAGAGAGGAAGTTATGCAGAACTCTCTTTGTGGCAGAGAACGCCTTCCGTGATGGCTCTCCCCGTATTCACTTCCTGCCGCTATACTCTCCTTACAGAGAATATTACGCCGACGCCAGCGAAGATAGAGACGTCGACCATGCCGCTTGTCATCATGAGCTCACACCCCGCGATGCCGTCACAGATGACCAGAGTGAGAAGATTTGCCGGCCCCCGCCGGCCATGACGGAAACTCAGGCCTTGCTGACTGCCCGACAGACCGAGATGGAAGACTATGAGGAAGCGATGCTGGCCGCCTGGCCTGAAGAGTGGCTGTGAACTATCTGCCCAGCAGCAATTCATCCGAAAGGGTGCCGACCGGAAGCACAATATCGCCTTGGTCATTTTCTGAAGGAACGAGTCCCCATACCCTGGCATTTCTGTCACATTCATTCCCTTTGGTGGTTTTCAGCTCCGCTAACGTTTTCCCATTCACTATGAAACACAGTCTTTTCCGCTTCTTGTTGTTTTGTGTCTTTCTGTCTTGCAGGTACCATCGAACGAGTCAGTTGCAGTTTGCCTTTAGTCATTTTCTGACTTACGGACGAGTTGGTCTCACTTTACCTTGAGCTCATTTCCTCAGGTACGAACCAATCAATTGCACTCTGCCTTGAGTTCACTCTCTCAGGTATGATTATGATCACTTTCCACTCTCGTCAAAAACATTCTCTCAAACTCTCGAATCATGGGTCACAAGGAACAAAGGGAATACAAAAAAAAGGGGTAAAAACAAAAACGAAAAAAAAGGCCGGAATCAAGCACTATAGTGCTCGTCTGTTATATCTTCATCGACCACCGAACGAGCTTGATGCCTCTCGCATCGCTCATGGTCAGTCACGTTCATCGGTATGTTCTTCAACAATCAGCACAAGAAGCCCAGGGATTTCGCCCTCAGGAAGCTTTCACTCACACATTGGCATTGGTACACTCGTCTACAATCGGCACAAGAAGCCTCGGGATTTCATCTTCAAGAGGCACGTGTCACTCACACAACACATTGGTATTGGTACGTTCGTCGACAATTGGCACACAGAGCCCAAGGATTTCACTTTCAGGAGGCAGTTGTCACTCACGCACATTGGTATTGGTACATTCGTGACAATCGACACAAGAAACCCAGGGATTTCACCTTCAGGAGGCACGTGTCACTCACATACATTGGTCTTGGTACATTCGTGACAATCGACACAAGAAGCCCAGGGATTTCACCTTCAGGAGGCAGTTGTGGCTCTCACGCATTGGTATTGGTACGTTCGTCGACGATTGGCACACAGGGTCCAAGGATTTTCGCCTATATGAGGCATTGCTTACACAAACACACCGGAAACTTTCTAAAAACGGCGCATGGAGTGGGATTGGAATGGTCCAGAGACACTAGATTTGTTATTTTCGCCCACGAGAGGCATTGCTTACGAGGAATTGGAACTGGTATGATCAAAGAGAGACTGTATTTGGTTGGAATTGAAGGGTTCATGAGTCTTTAAGACAGGTTGGAATTGTTTGGCATTGTGAACGCACAGTATCAGGATGCACATTTCTCACGTATCATGTCATCTTCGGATGCAAATATACTCATCTTCCTTCCACACTTTGATTTATTGACCCTAATTGTGCATACATTCAACCTGAGAAACGGGTCACGCCGCCGTCTTGATTATCCAGCTGCTCCAATTTCCCATTGAGTATCACAAACTTCCCAGTCCATGTGGAATTTGCTTGGACTTAAAGTAAGGTAGCACACAGTAATATGCGGACAGGAAAGGTTGTTGATACATTCGTCTAAGAAGACAACCCACCCTTGCGTCCAGCCTCCTTGGCCTTCTCGCTACCAGGTTCAAACGACCCGGATGATGCCTTCCCGCCCATGGAAGCAATCTCACGCTAATTTATGTCAGATTCGGTGATCGATTTCACTTCTTCCTTCATGTCAGGTTAAGATAGATCTCACCTGCTTGTCGGGGTCCATGCTGGCAAATCCGCCCTTGTGGCTGGATTGGTCCCCTTTGCTGTGGCCGGATTGGCCCCCTTTAGAGGCGATGTTCTTAACCTCCTCAGTGGGACTGATTAAAGAGAGATTAGCTACTTGACTTGTATGGATATCTCTTTCCGCCTTAATCGGTGTAGCTCACCGGTTGGCAAAGTTGCCGGGGTTCTGGTTATCGGTCATTGTTGCAGATATAGTCAAATGAGGTGGTTCGAAGCGATCTTGATGAGTTCTTGCGAAGGCTATGTGATTGAATATAAGGATGAGAAGAAGATACTCATCTTTTCGAGCTCAATCACAGGCTTATATAGACGGTTGATGAAGGTCCAAGCGACTCAATGCCGTCATTCATTCTGAAATCAATTCGGCTCTATGTCCACTTTGACGAGTGAATGACGCTGAGAAAAGTCTCATTGATATCCAATGCTCCCCTCTCTGACGTGTTGCTACTATCTTAGATCGATCCAAAAATGACCGATAGGCGGTCTAGGTTTCAAGATCGCCTAGTGAGTGATCGAGAGTGATGATCTGTGATGTATATATACTCACGGACCTCTGTGGCAACAGGAGAAAAAGAAACAACAAAAAAGCAGGATCCTGCACAGTGATTTGCAAATGGATTACGTAGGTTCTGCTTGACAATATGGAACAGTCGTATCTCATTCAGAATAATCGCGGATAGTTTGCTGTCTATGACGCCCTCTGGCTGTCAACTCACGAAATCCCAGGCAGTGTAGTATCTACCTAAAGATGCACGGTGACAGTGAAGGAGAGTGTAACACTTATGCTTCCCATTATTACGGCCCACGTGGGACTGACTGGGATGGCATCTGCATGTGTACTCCAGGCATTGCAACATACCCAGAAAAAGAGGAGTGAACTCAATTCAACATGGGATCGGACAACAATGCAACGCAATTGCAGCACGAGGCTGAATCCGTTTATGCGATAACACCCAAAACATGAAATCCTTCGGGTCAGCAATCTACACGGTGTTGTCTCTCATCAGGCCATGTCCGGGCCGTCGACACACACACACAACCTTAATCACCGGCTGGCCCTGTAAATGGATCCGAAGGCAGCCGCGTGCGCATTTACGAAACAGGCTTCGGACTCCGGCTAGGGCCCGGCTCGCAAAACCGGATACCTGGGCCAGTGTGGAATAACCATACCACCAGGTGAGGGGAAGACGATAAGAGAGCATGATAGGGTCAGATAGAAGGCACGCGCGTACGCCAGTCAATAATAGCCGTGCCAAGGTCGTCTTGCATCGTCTGGGGAGACTGGGGAGAGAGTGAGGCACCAGGCACGGCGAAGGTGCCAGGCCAAGCACATGCGGACGAGCGGGCCAAGGGGCCAAGGGCCCCAAGTCTATTGCTCATATGATACGCAAACCTTCCCCGAGGTTTGCCTTGCGGGATAACTTGTGCTGTTGAATTATTGCCGAGCTTCAAGTCATCCTAGGAAATAAAATAAAAACGCCATCATCACAGGCTTCTGTCTACCCGAGCAACGGCATAAACGAGGCCGGGAAACGAGCCATTGCAGGCGGCCGCGCCTGGTCTAGATTAAACAAGAGGCCATCCATGGAAAATGCGGAGGAGGCTTCCTCTTCCCCGCCCCCGCACCAGCAGCCACTCACGTCTCAACCGTAACCATCACGCACCCGCAGCTAATCGGGCCAGCAACAGCCTAATATTGGTCCAATTCCAGAGCAGCCCGCTCCGACGTTTTCCCGGGACCAACCAGCGTCCCAGCGCAGGCCTTAGGTAAACACCGTAACAGACGTTTCCCGATCCAAGGCCGCCAGCTGCAGCACAACCCCGCCACCAGCCTGTAGGAGCCCTGCCATTACGCACTCTCCGGGTTTTACCGAGCGCACCGACCGATCCAATCGACGTCAGTTTCTGCATCCTCCTGCGTACCCTGGACAGCCCTCTCTACCCTCACCAACCAACAAGCCGGCCTTCCTGGGTGCAAGCAACCCCGGACACCCTTCCTTTGCTCCAGTCGACCATAGAACAATACAGACGGAAACACCCAGAGCCTCCTCAATTTGATCGCAAGACGCGTGGGGGCCCTTCGGCAGGACAGCGCTTTATCATCGCTCGACCTCCCCCGACTCACCCCGCCAACCCTCCTCCCGTATCATATCATATCATATCATATCTATCGTCGCCCTAAGATCGGCACACAGACATCACCCCACCAGCGGAGGGAAAACATCGACGACACTTCAGCAAGAGTCCCAGACACCATCTGGGCAGAGGGACGCACGAACCAACCCATCCACCAAACACACACGGACAACTCATCCCACCATGCCGTCCCAACGACCCTTCTTCCTCGCCTCCGTCTTCGCTGCCCTGCGCCAGCAAGACCTCTCCATCACCCAGCAGCCCAACAAGTACGCCACGCAAACCACCTCCTCCGCCGCCTCCTCATCGCCGGCCAACGCCACCGCTACATCCACCGCCGCCGGCAGGACCGCAACTGGCAGCAATAACCCCTCGGCAAACAACAGCGCCGCCGCCGCCGACGCAGCACCAGGCCAGGCGCAGACCGCCCCCCGCTCGGCCAACATCCCCATCCAGTACCCCTCCTCACGCCGCCGCGGGAGCGACAGCAGCAGCGAGGGCTTCCGCGACGTCCTCGGCGCGGACAAGTGGTACATCGGCGGGAGGACCGCCGGCGGCGAGGAGAGGTTCTTCAAGCTGGGCGTCGTGAGGCGGGTGCGCAGCAACGACGGGATGAGTCTGGATCGGCTCAGCTTGTGAGAGCAGCGAGGGGGTGAACCAAAAGGGGATATTAAAAAAAATGTCAAAATCAAAACTACACACCGCTTTTTTGTGTGTGTTTTATCCAACGTTGAGATGAGGGAGCACGGGAATCGGTTTTTTTGGACAACATCATGGCGTTTTTGTGTTTTACATGATCGTGCTTGTCAGCGGGCTCTAGCATCCCCGCGTCGAGGGGCTGGATTCCACGACGGGTGCATATGGGAATATTGTGATTTTCCTGGATTTGGGGGGGGCGCTTTACGAAACCTATCTTTTGGCGGCGTTCTGGACATGCTGCCTGTTATGTCGTTATGAAAAATTAAACAGTTCGCGATGGGCTTGATGTTCGCGGCAGAAAAGAAACAGAAACGCGGAAATGACTTTGACGAGTCTACAATACATATCCTACATACCATACATATTGACAAAGTCCTGTAAAACCCCCCTGACTGGCCTACCACATGAACCGCTGCCAACGGCCCTCGTCAAGCAGGCTCCCGTCTTCCGCTTTCCACTGGAACGGCTTGAACAGGAAGATGTACCCTGTGACGACGTTGATGGCTACGAACCAGACCGTCTCCAGCACAAGCCGGAGGTCGTAGTGACGGAAGAACTCGAGCAGCTTGTCGACCGGTCCAGTGGGTTGCACGGAGGCGAACAGTCCGCCAGTAGGGAGTCTCCAGGCCGGGGCCATGAGCCGCCACATGACCCAAGGGATAATGAAATAACGAGGTTCAACCAGGGGCGCGGTAATGAGAGATAAGCTCGATGCCAGGAGAAGCACGACGGCCGTTGAGGTCAACACTGACTCTGTGGAAAAGGCCAGTGGATCGTTGGCAATAGCCTCCTCAGCTTCTAGTTGTGTCTTCTCTGAGGCCTGTGGGTACTGCGCGTTCGTTTGTCGCTTGGATTTCTCGTCCTGGCGTATCCATAGGGGGTGGTTGACAAATAAGGGCTCATTCGTTGGTTTAGGGCTGTCCGGGTCTCCTGAAATAAATGTAAACGGCCAGGCTTCACTTCCAGCCAACGTTCCCCAGACCATCCATCGAGAGAGCGTATAAGGGGCCACCAGCAGGAGGCGGATTGCTGCCCCGCGCCGAATTGTGTAGCGGAAGATGTAAAACATGTAGTGTCGATTGTCTGCGAGGGTAAACGGGTGGATGATGGTGTTGAATCGCACCACAACGAGCGATGTGATCACTGTAACAATGACGTAGACGGGCCAGACAACGAACCGGCTAAGCAGGCTGGAGACAAACTGGAGCGGTGCAGAAATCTTGGGAGATTTGGGCTGTGCATTGTCTTGGCCCTTTCCTCGCTTCTTGCCTTCATCTGTGTCTTTTCTTGATGCCCTAGAATGGGCTGACTCGCTTCTGGGAAAGACGAGGTTCCAGGCTATATTGAGAGGGTACAAGGCATATGGAAGTAATAGGGGGAGTGAGAAGAATGCGAAGAATGGCCAGATATATAGCATCTGAGCCAAATGAATCGTCGCTACATGGTTGGATTTATCACCTATCAACCTAGAGTCAGCGATACTGATGCAACTTCCTGATCAGACGTCTCGCTCACCAAGAACCACGCCGCCATTCCAGATGACGAATGCAACGAAAGATAGCAACACGGCAATGTATGGCCAAACTTGCCTCAGCACTCGCACGGGATTGCAAACAGCCGCGATCAAGATGCTCAGGACGGAGAACAGCCAATCTACATTGTGTCAGTCTCGTCCTAGGACAGAAAGGGGTCAGCCGGAGAGTGTGATAAATACCATCAGGCCAAGCTCTGTAAAGCGGGGGGTCGTGGATATCCCCGATGGAATACCTCCAAGCGAAGAAGTTCACCTGCTCGGACAGTGTGGTCATCACTGGTTGTTCAACTCGTTCTGGGCGAAGAGTCTTGATCGCATGGATACCCTCCAGACTACCGATAAACGCCACGATCCAAAACACATTGGTCTGTCTCATGGACAGAGACAGGATTCCGAGGAACACTGCGCAAATGTCGCTGAGGAACGAGGTCCGGTCGCCTCCCATACGATGCAAGGAGTTGAGGAACGCCGCCAAAACCACGGCGGTAGACACCAGATCCGTATAATACAGCCCAGAAAAGAAAAACAGCAGAGGAAACAGGGCAATGTTCAGCGCAGTATGTCCAGCATATTGCGACTTGGCCCCCATCCTCGTCCCCGAGTTTCCTTGGTAAAGAAGGGCCTCGATTTGCTGGCGCGAAAACATGGCCAGATATGTTAGAGCCACCAATGCAAGCGCATTGAATGCGCGTAAGCTCCTGGCGTCACAGCCATAAATTGCGAACAGCACAGCAAAGGGATTGTTGCGTGTAACCAGCATGCTCAAAACGTAACTGTATTTTTCAATTAGTCTTCGTTGTCGCAAAGTCGTGGAAAGCTTGCCCTATGCCGGGGAGAGACTGCAATGCAGCTGCTTACAGGCCGGGGGGCGTCGTGAGTTTGTCGTCCCACTCGGTGTATCTTCCTTGACAGTATTTCTGAGCCTGTGGAATGTGAAAGATCTCGTCTAAATAGGGCTCGGGCACATAATGAGAGCTGATATGAAGCCAGAGTTGGGCTGCGACGGCAGCACATACTGGGGCCACGGTGGCCCATCGGGTTGAAGCTCGCCCAGGCGGCCGAGTAAGTGCGACGAGCAGCATCACCACCCCAGAAATGGCAATGGCCCTGGCCGATTGGAGAGAGCTGGGGCGGGAGACCCAAGACTCGATCCAGCCATCTGCAGTTTCGCTTTCGCTTTCCATGTCGGCCTGTGTGCGATCTGGGCTGCGAATGACGCGGTTGAGTGACGGTTGAGGAAAGCTCACGGTTCCACACTGAAGATCGAAGGTGAGGAAATGCCTGAGCTCTGTAACGTAAAGCAGCTTCTCGTCATCCCCAAGAGAAGCACTACCACATAGAATATTTCGATTGCCGAATTTTTTCAATGTCATTTATAAACCAGATTTCTATTCTTTCTTTTTTTCTTGTCAATTTCCACTCCAAGAATTAAGGCCTGCCATGTTCTCCTGATGCTTTTACGTGGGGCTTACACATTCAGAACAGGTATATTCGAACCATTGTCCATTTTTCCCCCATTGCTATGAATAGAAAGGGTATCTAATTTGCTGTGACATGATAACTGGCATGTCCTGCCCCTCCAGTCTTATCAAATTTGGGAGTAATTAGCTTCCTATATCTGCTAAGGATTTTCCGCGCACATATAGCTCACGCAGTCCGTTGAAAGCAGTGGCAGCCAACAACAGCATTTTCACTTGATGGAGATGGTACAAGTCTATAAAGAGAATAAATTTCTATTGGAAGTATCTTGTACAAGCTGGGATTGTATTCTAATCCGCTCCAGCCAGCCATCCTATCACACAAACCCCATGATTTTCGAGCTGTTTAAAAGGGCTACATGTACTGTTAGATGCATTCTTTGCTTCATAAGAGACGTATATGGCACTTACGTTGTCGGCGGGGTTGACCTCGGTGACGAAGAGCTGTCCGAGGAAGGGAACCTTCTACGTGGTGGGTTAACAGGGAAGCCTTCACGAAACGTGTTCCTCATGGCGAATTGAACGTACCTGGAGGATATCGGTCTTCACACGGGGGATACCAGAGATGTAGAGGAGGACAGCAACACCAGCGGCACCGCCGAAGGCAGCAGACTTAGCACCACTGCCAAAGAAAATCAGCATTCCGTTCCAACAACCGCTGCAATACCAACAACAACCCAGTTTCAGAGCGCCGGAAGGTCTCTACTGAGCAGTCCGCACGCCGTAGAACTCCATCGAGCCGCCATGCTGAGAACTTCGACCTGGAGCAAAGGATTGCTTGCTGCTCATTCTTCCATCCATTGCATCCGCGAGCGCTCAACTACTCCAGGTCCCACTCGCTCGTTCTTGGATTTGTGTCGGTAATCGGGCAGGATAAAGGTGCTACTTACAGTCGGAAAGCAGTCTTGGAGCTGATGCCAGCAACGTTGGGCTGGAATTGGTACCTGTTGTTCTTCGGTCAGCCTCTGAACCGCCTCTTTCATGTTGACTCTGACTCGATCGCCGGGATATTCGCAAGCTCGAGGATCGCTTCCAGTCGGTCGTGATGGCTATCGGGAGTAGGATAATCTCTGGACGTACTTAGGGCCGTAGGCGCTCCTGAATTCGGCAGCACGGAAGGGAGTCTGTTCGAGAAACGGTCAGATGGATGTCTTGATGGGGGATTTGAGGTAGAGCAGGGGGCCAGAATTGGCGAGTCGGTGACTTGTTTCGACATACAGGAGAGACCATCTTGATTGTGGGGGCAGCTGAAGCCGTTCTTGTCGGTCAATTGCTGAATCGTCGTCGGTATTCACAGTCAAAAATATCACCACTTGCGCGAGTTTGGGAAGCTGAGTCTAGCCGTCGGCAGAAGCCGGAGTTTTCCCCCAGGCCAGGAACGGGGCCTGTTCAGCCAATAGGATGAGCCGAGATACTAACATGGAAGCAGCACTCATTGCTGGTCTTGCTGCAATGAATTTTTTTACATTTTCATTATTCTATTTAGTTGATGGTTAAAAGTAAATTAGTAAACATGAGTAATACGTTTTAAGAGGTATATCTCTCTCACCAATTGGCTCGTAATCTCATACTTATATGATGGGAGATGGGAACGATGCAGATCAAACAAGCCAGCGAGCATGACCGGTTACCAAGAAGATGATATGAACTGATCTATTCCATCGATCAAATAGGAAGTATGCAAATCCTTTTCCCACCTTCGATTTAATAGAAATACTCCTGTGTATCGAAGGCCTTCACCTGTTGATGCCCATACTAGTAGGTATAGGGTAGTGAAAATATAGCGGGCCTGGAGGATTGGACTTGTTCTAGAGTCCAAGAGCTCCAAGCTCCAATTGTCAGACGTGCACCACCAACGCTTTCTCGGAATAGAGAATTTTAACTTTCCCCTGCAAACATCCCGACTGGTCAACCCTCGCGGATGGATAAATTCATCGATGGTCGCTTTGAGCGACTTGAGAAGGCCCTGGCCGTTCTCGTCGACTCAGTCAACAAGTATCATCCTTCTATAGCTCACGCCAGAGAGATTGAGCTTGCCGACAACGAGTTGAGCAAAGGCCTGGAAGATGGTATGCGACCCCGTCAATTACGACCCCATCTCTCGTACACATGTTACTGACAATTATACAACCTAGTCCAAACCCACCAGAATAACTACCTCCGTATCCAGGAGCTGCGCAAGTCGTCCGCGGCTCTCGACTCCCAGATCCGCGACACCCTCTCCAGCCTCGCCTCAACCCGCAAGGACATCGTGACCACCCACGCCACGACCTTCCCCCCCGGGCCAAGCTACCCCTTCTCGTATGAGGAACTCCTTAGATACGCCCGCCGCATCAGCAGGAACACGATGCCCTCGGCGTCCACGATCGCCGCCACTGCCCCGGCCGCCGCCACCTCCCCAGAGACGACGCAGACGCCGCTGGCAGCCGAGTTCCAAACGGGAGCGACGCCATCTGCCGCCCCGACGCCCTCGCAGCCCCAGAGCCCTGCCATCAACGGCGCCCCCACCCCCATGCAGAGCCAGGCCCAGCCCTCGCAGCAGACGTCAACCCTGACCACGCTCCCCGAAGGCTACTCGGAATTTCTCAACCCCCTTTCTGGGCAGCCCTTCTTCCCATGGCCCGGGGAGCACCAGATCCGGGGCGGCGCCCTGGCGTCCAACCAGGCTCTCTCCGAGCAGGGCATCGACCCCAAGGGGTACGACCCCGTGGAGGTGGAGGAGCGCAAGCAGAAGGAGGAGGAGGAGCGCAAGGCCAAGGAGGAGCAGGAGAAGCAGGAGCACCAGAAGAGGTTGGAGGAGGAGCGGGAGAGACAGCTGCGGCAGCAGGAGGAATGGCGCAGGAACACGGCGGCTGGTTCTTCACCTACCCAGTCCACCCAGCCGAATGCGCCGCCCGTCAAGAAGCAGTTCCAGTTCTCCTCGTTGGATGATCTCGACGACGATGACGATGACTAAACTCCGTTGGTGGGTTAAGGAGGACGCATGAATTTTTTCTCTAAAAATACCTTTTTATTGGGCGGTTGTTTGTAGTTTTAAAAAAATAAAAAAATTCCATCCAGTATCTAACTCTCCCGCGCGTTCATTCTATTCAGAGTGCCTCAATAAGAGGCAGATAGGAGAGCGATCTTGTTCTCTACCAGGTTTTTCTTCTCCAACTATTCCCAGAATCATCTTTCCAGTAAAAGAAAAATCCCCTTTTCCTATTCGATGCCCAATAATGCAAACGCTGGTGATACAAAGTAGTCTTACAAAAAGCAAAAGGTATATATCATGAGTCTGCCACCGTCTCAAATATTGGTGATACTTGAGCCCGCTCCTCCAGTAACTCGGACTTTCGGTCTGTTTGGACTTAGTCAATCTTGATTGACTTGTAAATCCTCTGCACAAACCACCAACTGGCAAAGTAGCCGATGGAGCCTATTTCGTCATCGTTAGCTGATCGCCTTTCGAATAATTAGTTTCAGGGGTAAAATTAGACTTACCGCAAAGAACAAAGAAGAGCATGGAGATCAAGGCACTGTAGCCGAGGTACAAGACAACTCCAGCCAAACCACCGAGTCTCACCTTTGTGATCAGGTTGAAGAGACAGTTAAGGAAGATGTAGCCACCGGTCATGCCAGCAGCCATGAACGACCGCCATTGCCAGTTGTAGTTCTCGGCACAGAGCAAGAAATAAGTCATGAGAATCGTGACGGCTGCGCAAACAATAACCATGAGAACGTAGCAGAGGAAAAGGAAACCAAACATGTAGTAGATCATGCTAAACCAAATGGAGCTCATGATGAAGTACAACTCGACGAAAATAGCGCCGAAAGGCAAAAGACCGACAATGAGCATACTGGGGGCTGGCTTCAACCATGTGCTCACGGGTGGGATCTGTCGGGGAATCTGGTTGGTGCGGACCGGGGCTTCAATAGCGACGGATCGGAAGCCGAACCAGGAACCTGCCAGAGATAGCGGGATGGAAATGACGAACCAGATACCAATAATCACGAGCATGGTCGTAAAAGGAACGGCACCAGAGGACTTCTTGGCCCACAAGAAGAGATCCAGGAAGAAGAAGGAGGAGAAAGTGATACCGGGGATTAGAGTTGGTGTGAGAACGATATTCAGCTTCCACTGCTCTCCCTGGAACGACTTGTATACTCTTGCTGAGACATATCCGCCTACGAAGCTCAGAACGGTGTAGAGAAGTATCATGATTGTTCCCAGGGAACCACGGTTGGATGGGGAGAGGAAACCGAACAGGGCAAAGACGATGGTGCATGCAGTTATCACAAAGAGGTGAGCACCGTTTCCGAGAAGAACTGAGAGAAGAAGTGGGCGTGATGGTGTTCGGAAAACGTCTCCATGGACCAGCTTCCAGCCCGAATCCTCCTGCACGCTATCTTCCTCAAGAGCCGAAGCCGCACCAAAGTCATCAAGATTGATCTGGTCGAGACGGTTGTATCGTGCAATATCCTTCTTGAGAGTTCGGACCAGAATGGATACAACAGTCATAACCAGGATGACCACGATAATGGCAGTGTCGATCAGCCAGAACCAGTGGATCTTGGGGTCAAAGACGTGCAGGTACTTGTCCCATCGCGTGGCCCAGGCAGTTCCAGACCTTCTCCAGTAGACGGCGTAGCTGAACTTGACAACCTCGGACTCGGCATTCTCCTTTAGAACCACGGTTGGGTGGGTATCGCCGCAGTCAGCGGTGTGAGAGTATCGCTTCGAGCTTGGTTCGACAGTAACGCCGACAACACGGAGCTGGTTGGGGTCCTTGTTGACTTCGTGGTAATCGACCCAAATATCGTAATGATTGTTGAAGATAACTTCCGCAGTAGGGTCCACCTGTCCGAGAAGGAAACCGGGGCTGTAGAAGGAAGTTCCTGTCATCTCGTCCTCGATCTGCTGACCAGGGGGCAAACCGTCGACGAGCCAATTCAGAGTATAGCCCGCCTGAATCTTGGATCGGACGAATTGAATCGATTCCTTATCGTAGGTGACCTCGCAGAGAGACTTGCAGGTCTCGTTCTTGGCCATTTGGAGGTCGAAGGGAGAGGTCATGATACGATCGCCGAAAAGGATGCTACCCAGGCTCTCCGACACATATTTCGGCCCGCCCTCGGGCTTACAGAACCTGAACTCGTCATGGTAGTAATCGTAGGGCACGATAGAGTGCAGTCGCTGATCGGAGGGAGAGGCGACGGGCGTGATACTGTTGACGAAGAGCGGCACCTTGTCGTTGACCTTGTAGGAAGTTGGTGCGACACCAGGAAGGTAGAAAGCCGACGCAGGGACAGCCGCAAGCAGAGTCGCAAACAGCGCCGATGGCGCCATGTTGTTGCAAAGCATTGTGCTATTGACTATAGGTCATTCCAGGGATTTGGCGATTGCTTTGCCGCGAACAGGAAGATGCAGATTCAAGATGCGTGACGTAGGCGAGTTGCGCGTCCCTTTTATAGACGATCGTATCGCCTCTCTAAAATGAAGGTCTCCGCACGAATCGAGGTCGGGCCGGCAACCCGTCCTGTTGATTTAGGGGGGAGATTGAGACGGGCGATTTCGATGTCAGACCTGCCCCGAGCAAAGAAGTTGGTCGTATCCAAGCTTGAAGATCGTATCGGGAGCCGCTGCCTGACATTCAGGAGCTTCGTACAAGTGTCCTAAGTTTACGAGGAAGTGCTGAGTCAGCGTTCTCTGCCGCATGCATTAGGATGCCAAGGGCTCCACTAAAAAGTTCCAAATCTCGGAGCGCAAAAAGATCGATAACGGCTGCCGACAAATTTCTTTCACAGTCGGCCAGCAGACCGCAGCACAAGATGGCGGCACCTACGACACTCCCCGCTCTGCTAGAATCATTGACGCAGTCGCTGACCTCGACTCACGAAGCTACCCAAAAAGTCACTGAATTGGAGAAGCCCAAAGACGGCATCTCTCTCCTCGACGTCAAAAATGAATTGCTTCTCTCATACCTCCAGAACCTCGTCTTCCTAATTCTCCTCAAAATCCGCAATGCCAAGCAAGAATCTTCAGAGGAACCCAGCGAAATAGACGAATCTGTCCGCTCTAAACTCGTCGAGCTGCGTCTGTACCTCGAGAAGGGAGCACGCCCACTTGAGGAGAAACTCCGATTCTCCATTGAACGTTTCCTTCGTACGGCCCAGGATGCGCAAGCAAAGGAATTCAATAAGTCTGCAAAGGGCGAGAAGAACAGCGATGATTCGGAATCAGCTTCGGACGAAGAAGAGTCCGAGGACTCTGAGGATGACAGTGGGAAGGGGCAGGCCCAGGCCAAACCAGCGGGACGTTCTGCGGCACCCAACCTAGGCGCCATGACGGACGATGTGACCGCCCGTGCCTCGAGACGAGACAAAAATGAACCCGCCGGCGTCTACCGACCACCCAAGCGAGAGCGCCAGGTCATGGACAGCGCGAGTGGACGTCGTGATAAGTCCGAGCGCCGCCCCGCCAAGTCACACACCATGGACGAATTCATCGCCGACGAGCTGTCCACTGCACCGGTGGCTATGCCCAGCATTGGCACGACCATTGTCCAGGGCGGTCGTAGGATGAAGACGGCAGACGAGCGCAAGGAGGAGGCGGAGAGAACATTATACGAAGAATCCAACTTCGTACGTCTGCCCGCCGAGAGTAAGAAGGACCGTGCAAAGAAGAATAAGCAGCTTGGAAGAAGCAACCGTATGCAATTCGGTGGGGAGGAATGGCACGATTTGGGACAGGGCATTGACCGGATCGACCGATTGACCCAACGCAAGGAAGGTGGAAGAGGAGCCAATGTGCGCTCCATGCTGGAAAAGAGCCGCAAGAGAGGCCTTGATACAACAGACGGTCCCAGGGGCAGTGGGATGGGTGATCGTTTCCAGAAGCGGGTCAAGGTGCTTGAGTCGGGACGCAGAGACCGTGGAAAGAATAGGTAGAGAGACATTTTTAAATATGAAATTTGCCGGTATATAATTCTTGCGTTGGTATAGAATTTGGCGTTGGAGCGATCTGCTTCGGCCAGCTTGGGCATTATTTCCACTTAGATGTGCTGTGGCTAGCATGAGGAGCACGGAAGTTTGGCAAGCTGCCAGACACATAGAAGTGAAGGGTGCATTGTAGCAAAATGCTTAGTCTATATCACCCTTAGGATAAAAAAAGAAACCGCACAATCACATTTTTATGTTCTTCACTTACACTGTTCCCGGAACTACAAACTCAAAGAATGTTAACATGCCTGGCGCTGATAAGATAAGCCAAAAAGTTTCGGTGATGTAACCCCACATTGACGACTCACACAGTTCGATGACCAGACAGCTTCCTCCTCCCAAACCACCTTCCCTCGCCACCCGCTCTGTGAACAAAAGAGCCCAATTGGGCATCATGTCGGTCAAAGATGATGACAAGATGGACACAACCGTCCCCGATGATGAGAGCGACCCCGTGACGGCCACCTACCGCGTGTTCATCAACCCTGCCCTCCCTCTCGGCCGCCGCCTGCTCGTCCTCCAGCACCCCAACCGCACAGACGACACCGCTCGTCCTCCGCCCACAGAGCTTCGGTTAAAGTCCCGCACCGGAATGGTGGAGGTCGATATCCCCCTGGATGCCGGCTCGACTGCCTACGACCGCGACAAGGGCATGAAGTGGGGTCGGAACCTCAAGGCTTCCATGACGGCAAAGAGTGGCGGCAGCCACGGTCTCGCTGGTGGTTTCGGCGTCGGCGCCGTCCAGCAGCGTGGCGGGAAGAAGAAGGACCCGACGGAAGATGACGACATCTTCCTCGATTGGAACGAAGCCGTTCGACAGCAGAAGGTTCTTGCGACGCAGACCCTGGGCGGGCAGTATCCAGACGTCACCGATGTCCAGTACATGGTTGGTGTCTTCCAAGGAAGTGCGTGCCCCCCCGCCCGTCCGATCGTTTGACTGGCCTCACCTACTGACATGTAGAATTATAGAGGATCTTCACCTGACGCCCGTCTCCGAGCTCGTCCACCTCCGACCTCAGCTTCACCACATTGACGCCACGGCCTACCTCGAGCGCCAGTCCGCCGGGAAAGATGCGCCAGGTTCAGGTGCAGGTACCGGCGCCGGCGCTGCTGGAGGAGCAGCCGCCCAGGCCCGCGCCATCCACATGACGATCAAGAACACCGCCGAGGGCGATCGCGTCACCACCGAGACCATGGCCGACCGTCTTCGAAACGTCCAGTCCGAACCATGGCGCAAGCTCCGCTACACAGACGAGAACGAGGAGGCCGCGTGGGATGTATACAACGAGAGTCTCTTCCTGCGACCAAAGGAGGATCCCAATGAGGCGGATAAAGGAAAGGGTGTCGAGGAGGAAGAGCCGGATTTGGAAACCGCCGTCCCCAAGTTCGCTACCAACTGGGGCGACGACGAGCTGCTTGAGGCCGTGAGCGGAATCACGAAGGCCGATCGGGAGGCTGAGGCTGCTCAAGCCACCAAGCCAGAGCCTACAGCGCCAGAAGCGCCGCCGCCCACACTCCAGCCTGCTGCTCCGGCTGCGCGGGCTCCTTTAAGACCAAGAGGAGGAGCCGCTGCTGCCAGACGAGGTGGACGACCAAGGGCTCCCGCAAAGGCAGGACCTTCTACTACAGTGAATATTGATTAACTCTCTTTGTCTTCACGGGCTTGTCAAGGATTTTGTTTTTTAATTGCATGGGGCGGCGCAAGAGGGTTTGGGAAAATATATTTCAGGCCATTATGAAGATTGATTCCTAGTGACGATATTTCGGTACAAAAGCAGGCCTTAACTATAAGGCGCTATAGTAAACGTACTTGATCCACGCTCTAAGCTCCCATCGCATGCATATTCCTGCTCGGAATTTTTTCACTAGTCGCTCGCCGATCCCACCACATAATATACAGTGATCGCCCATGCGAACGAAAAGGGGCGTTGAAATAAAAACCCAAAATACGTCTCGGCCATGTTCCCATAGCTCGAGCGTACTGATAACCCCGACAAAGCCTTTCCCGAGCCACCCGCAATAGCTCAGGATACACTAGCAAGATTAGTTGTCCCCGTTCAAAAGCCTAATTTTGTAATATGGTTATCTTTGTTTATTGCAATAACTCCACATCCAAGCCGATGGAGCGCATGAAGAGGTTGACACTGCCCAGGCGCTCGCTAGCCATAGCGGGCGGCAGTGTCTTTGCAAGAGACACGGTGTTCATGACACGGTCCTTGACAGCAAGAACCAGCCTTGTTTGCTGGTCGTGGTTTGCGCTGACTCCCATCGCAGCGAGGAGTTGCCAGACATAGACATCTTCGCCAGTGTTGACGCTGCCGGGGAAAAGATGCGGCAACGAAGGTTCTAGTTTGTTGAACAGTGTCTCGAATGTATGGTCCCTGGCACAAGTTAGCGAATGTCTTCAAGTCAGAAGTTCATCGTTCAAGGGTGTAACTCACCACTTCTCCCATTGCTCAGCATCCCCAGCGCCGGTCTGCTTAAGAAGAACGGCACGGCTGAGGATCAGGGTCAGCATGGACACACCAATCCGAGTTCCGGCAATCATATCAACTCGGAGCTTCATGGCGACGAGGTTAAGCACTCCGTCAACAATATCTAATCCGGTGTCGTTGAAGTACTGCATCAACGAGGGCATTACAGTCGAAATGAAAAGTTCAATGTTTTCACGCATCTGTGAGTTCAGAACGTTATCGCCGCTGGTTACGGCGCCTTGGACAACATCCAACTGGTCCAAGTGATAAATAATCAAAGTCAAGATAGTGGTGCGCTTCTCGAAATCCAGATGAGGGAAGATGCGGGGAATTGCCTTCTTGCCCTTGGCGCAAGACAGAAAAGCGATAAAGGGGTGAGGAACGACAACATCAACCGGATGGTGAACCTGCAACTGGTCCCAAAGCTTGGCGTTGAGGGCGTCGAGAGTGGCCTTCCACTCCATATGCTTCTGGTGCAGTTCCTCGTCTACCTGGTCGGTGGGAGGTGGTGGGATCGTTCGAACATGATCCTCGATCTTCATGAGAGTATCATAGACCTTCTCGGCATTGCGTAGGGCAGCCCTTCGAGCGTGGCCGTCACCGTTAGAGTCCGTCTTTTTTCCACTACTAGGGCGGCTGGTTTCAGCCTCGGTTCTCTTGATGTTGAGAAGCGGCTTAGGAGTCTTGGCATTGCTAAATGAAATCTTACCCAAGCTTCCTGCGATAACAAGCTGTGGGTTCTTGGGTTTATTTTTAGCGGCCTCGACGGCCCGTTGAACCTGCTGCTCCATGCGCTGGAAATGATTCTCAGCAGGTCTGCCGTGCCTGCGCATACCGCCATGTCGGCTTCCAGTTTGGAAAAGATAGGTTTGAGCGAAGTTACTGAGTGGCTGGCTAGGATTTTGACGTTGGCCAGCCCTGATATGACTGTACACTTGATAGTAGAAGTCCTCGATAATAGAGGTATCAGAGCTTTGCTCGGCAGGGTTTCCAGTAGCAGATACAAGCTGTTGAAGCTGAATACGAGTAATGAAATTCTTGTCCTGGGGGGTCATCAGACCGTTGTCCTTTGACAGAAGCCAGATCTTGTGGTTGCGCTTTGCTCTCTTGGTTTCCTGATCCAAGAAAGCAGCCTTGTCCTCCTCAGATAGTTGGTTGAATTGCGGGTGGGACTGGAGGGACTGGAGAGCTCCCTGATGCTGGCTACCCTTGGGCAGGGATCCTGGGGGAGCAGTGGGCTGGGTACCAGCAAGCTCTGCTCTTATTACATCCCCGCCACCTCGGTTTGGATTTTGCAAAATCTGGGTTGGCTGAGGTTGCTGGCGCTGCTGAACAGGAGCTGAGGTCTCTGGAACAGGAGGAGTAGGTTTCGATTGAATATTCTGCGGACGCTGTAGAATGGTAACGGGTTGACCATGTCCATGAGGAGCTTGGACGGATTGTTGAGATTGATAGCCTGGGGGAGGTGCCTGAGCGTACGGAGGCGCCTCCTGTAGATGCGCTTGAGGTTGGGGGGTGACTTGCTTTGGTGGTTGACGCATAGCAGCCTCAACTTCCTCAAGACTCATCATTTTTCTGCTAGGTTGAACGGGCTTAGGGACAGGAGCAGTTTGGGGGACAGAAGCAGTTTGGGCGGGTGACTTTGCGGGAGCCATGCCCCAAATGCTTCTATCCACGTTCAAGTCAGGCATCTGCTCGGGTTCTTTGTACTTCTCATACCCAGTCCGTGCAGGTCGGGGGACCGGCTGAGTTGGCTGAGCGGCATATTGCTGAGCAGCATATTGCTGAGCGGCATAATAATCCGCCTGAGATTGGTTTGCGCCTGAACGGACGGTTGGTCCTTGACGATGATACCGAAGATGCTCCTCCTCGATAGCCCCGGCGACCTTCGCTGTCTGCCCAAAGAAGTCGAAATCCTTGCCAACCTTGCTGCTCACAGCTGGGCCGACATCACCGCCGCCAAAGGTATCGTCGTTGAAAACATCGTCGGTTTCATCGAGCTGGTCACCAAGGCCATCGTACGTATCTTCGAATTCGAGGACGTCATCGACATTGTTTCCCGAGAGCCCTGAAAAGGGATCCGCAGCCTGGGAAAACCCAGGTGCGGCCGAATCATGGCCGCGAGTGGGATCGAAGCCAAAGAACGACATGGTGTACCAAGACAAGCGAAAGATAATATTAAAGAGTAAGGCTAAACGATGTCAGAATAACAACACAGGTATGGCGAACCATAATCGAGCCAAGAAAATCAAGAGGGAATAATGTGCTGAAATAGCTCGAGATTAGAGCAACACAAAGAATACCCGTAAGACTCTAGGATTTGGACTCGTTCGGGGTGGGAGCCCTTGACCAGGTAGACCAAGAGGTTGAGAACCCCGGACCTCGAGCTTTGTCGAATCCTCGAGTCCACGTCATTCACCCGTGTGGTGCGCACCATGCTGGTTGGCCCCTCCGCAAAGCTGCAAGGTGCCAACG